AAAATCTTCTGTAATATTTTCCACACTTTAGAAAGCAAAGAAACTCTCAACAAAATTCCCAAAAACCAAATTTAGAATAAACTTCCTTAGAGTAGCCATTATTTTTTTCCAGTGTAGTAAACACAAAGGCAAGTGGCGAGTGGAAAAAGGCGGGCAGCCAAGCGGAAACCCAAAACCCCGAAAAACAGAACGCAGAAAACACAACTGCAAAGCGCAGCAAAGTATGCTACATAATTTTTTGCAGCAGGACATGCTGGATATATGTGGCATATAGTGGCCATGGTGGTGGGCCGTAAGCTGCTTGGCTCACAAAGGAAATGCCCAAGTAAGGCGGTGTCGGTGGCGACTGCTGGAAGAGGCGTGGCCCAGCCACTTAGTGCCTGCCACATGTAGGCGAAATGGGAAAATGCAAAATGCGAAATGCAAAATGTGAAAAATTGCAGGCAAAGAGCATCGGCGGGCGGGCAATTAGCCAACCGCAGTCAGCTGTTAGCGGATGACCCTTGACCTTGCAGCCTCATCAGCGACCCTCAATTAAAATACACCCACACTCCCACACCCACCACCTTCGCACACTCTCCACTCAATTGGCTTAATCCCCACCTGACAGCCGAGTCGAGTCTTTTTGATCCTTAATCCGGATTCCATTACAATTTTACATGGCAATCCCGAGCGGTAGCGAGTGGGTTAACCTCGCTGCGCACTTTGAAAGCGGCTGTCAGTGGGTTAAGTCCACCGAATAAGTCAAACAATATGCAGCTGTCAGCTTTCAGTTTCCTCGCTCGCTGGCTCGCTTGCTGGCTTTCACTTCCTGCCTTTTTCACTTTTTCCCCCCCCAACATTTTCCGTTTATTGACGGCAGCTCAGCCCGGAGTTGGCCATTAACATTCAGCTGCAGTTGCAGTTGCAGTTGGACTTTTAGCAATGGTTATTTCGTATGCCATCTGAACTGATTGAATTCGAACTGTGGAATATCACTGAGGGAAATCCTTGAGCTAGAGTTGGAAAACATCACCCATCAGATACCCCCCAGAAGTAATCAGTTGACCCCAATGAGACTCAGCTTTTCAGCTGTTTCAAGTAACTGAGAGTGTACTGTACTAGCATTAAATCAATTCATGTTTGTTTTACTTTTCATCCAAGGCAAAGCTGTTCCAAAAACACCTCTGCAAATCACTTCACTCACTTAAAACCATTTTAGCAAAAAGGTTCCGTCTGCGAGAGAGAATGTGATGAATATTTCCGCTCGCCTTGTGTTGCACAAGAAAAAAAACACAAAGGAAAGTTCGATTCCCAACGAAAGTAAAGTAAATGTGCGATGATGATGTAAGAAGATTGGAGCATTTCTTCACATATTATTCCAAGGGCTTGCCAGGCATAACACCCCCACCTATGTATAGCAAAAACCCCATCGAACCCTTGAAGACTCTTTTTGTTTCCAGGAAAGCACAGATGAAAGACCCGGACCCGGACCCGTGCCCACCAAGCAATAATAATAATATTTATGACAACAACAACAACAAGAATAGACAAACCAAAGTGAATTGGAAGTAATAACAACATAATTATGCATAATTGTATTCCCAACAATTAGGAGCGAATCATTATTTTGATGTCATTCGAAACGCGAAATCATCAACCAGCCACCGCGGCAGTTAAACGAGCCGAGTGAACGGCACAGATACATCGGTGGGCACACATATAGCTACACATATATATATTCAGAATCACGGATTGTCAGTCGACGTTGCACGAAAGCAGGCAGAAAGCGCGGCGAAGCAGGAAAGCAGGCGACCACAACAATCAGCCAACGAACCAAAACGAGAGTTACGAGAATTATTCTGGCAGTCTGCCAAATATATAAAAATACAACAAAGCTGCACCAAGAAAAAAGTCTAATAGACAAATCATAATCAAAGATTACATTGAATTAAAGAATAATATTTAACTTTAAAACGATAAAACTCAATAATTTGAATCAAAAAGAAACTCTGAAAGAGTCACCAAATCCATTATCATATCAACAAGGAGCTTAGACTATCTCCTTTTGTGAAAATCAAAGAAGAAATTCTTACAAATTAATCGAAACTAAACTAAAATTTAACAAATCAAATGCCGAATTCTTTTCCTTGAGTGTGCATATTTATATGTAACGTTTTGGATGGGCAAAAAGAGCGCCAGAGCAGCGCAGATCCTGTTGCCTCGTTGTCAAGGTCTGACTGCGACTTGTGCCGGCTAACGAGTAAAGAATTTCCTTCGTGGCCAGAGCTTAGTGGGGTGGTTGTGGGTGGCTCGGCGGTCTTGTGGGTGGGCTGTGTGATGCCAGGCAGCCAGGCAGCCAATTTGGGGCCACTGCCAATCTGCCAGCACCGTGGGCCACAAAACGTAGAGGTGAACGAGAGCAAACAAGCAGCGAACCTTGGGTCTCCCTACACTAATCAAAATGGTTTTTAAGTTTTCAAGCTATTTGCTATCAGGGAAAACAAGAAACACTTTCAATACCATGAAGAAGCTCTTTCCCAAAACAGTTTTCCAAAAATAGAAATCCAATACAAGAGATTTCTCAGCTTATTTGAGTTTTTTTCGTGAGTGTACAGTGCGTTTCACAACCATACCGATGATTGGAGGCGTTTTGGGGGAGGCAGGGATCGTGGGGTATCTAGGGGTTCACCAGTTCAGAAGTTGGGCCATCAACAGGTGCCCGTTAAAGCTCTGTAAATTTGAATAAACATTATGTAACTAGCTTATTATTGGGCAATGTTTGAGCGAATATATTGAGCTGCTGCTGGTGTCTTACGTAAGCTGTTTGCGTAAGTCTCATCCTGATTTAGGTTGGTCAGTGAACTTCTGGACGCTCTACCGATTGCATAATATGTGTGTAAGCCATCAGAGAGATATTAATGCCAAATATACATAGGCTGGTCAAGCGAGTTATGTAAGAAGAGAGCTTGGAAATATATTCCCCAATTATTTGTTATTTATAAACATCGCCCCTGATCTAAAATCTGAAATATTTGAAACCTTTTTAAGCGGCTTTAAGCAGATACGTGATACGAAACCTGATTTTGAAGGCTTCAATTGAAGAAATGGCCCATGAAATTCCATAGAACTGGCTTGTAAAGGGAACTTCTTGGATTGTCAGCCACTTAAATTCAATTGTCATTTTAGATGAATTAAGAACAAATACAAATTGAAATGCAAAATGCAAAATGGAGCAGCGATTAAACAAAGCGGTAAACTCTTTTGTGACCTCGATATTCCTCCCCTTTGAAAAACCCGCCACAAAATTGCATCGAATGGCTGTCCGTTTTGAAGACAGTAATCCATTGAGAATGTTTAATTCATGGAGAGCATTCAAGCGTCTTTTGTTGGCTGTCTACACTGCGAGAAATGAGTAATACTTGTTTAAAATAACAAATTCTAAAGGTTTTCCCTTTTCTATAATCAACAAAACTAGAATCTTTTATTCCCTTCAAAGGCCAATCTAGACTGCGATTTGGCATTGACACTGAACCTGACGGTACAGTGAACACACTGGCACAGGTACCAATGCACTACTACTATTTATTATGGCGACTGTAACTGGCAGTGCCAACAAATGGCAGTAAGTGCTGCTAGGCCGGCACGTTCGGTCCCGATGATATTGATTTATAGAGTGTCAATCTGACAAATTGCACAGCAATAGCGTAATCAGTAATGCAACAGTTGCACACACACACACACACACTCTGTAGTTTTCTGTGGCAAGGAGACGAAGACGGGGACGGGGAAAGTCTGAGCGGACAGAAAGCTCTGTGGCATTCAATACAAGGCACACAAAACAGCTTGATGACCTGTCAAAATCTGTTGGGCCTGTCAAATGGATTTCAATGTAAAATATCAACACAGAAATCGGCGAGGCGTTATCGGGAGGACTTTCATTTTTCAGAATTCAGCCCCTTAGAGGTTTCCCCCTTTTTTGGTGGGTTCTATTCAGTTATTCAATTACGAGACCGTGACCAAGACACTTGCATCGATCCAAGATGTGAAGGAAAAACAAAACTGTGGATTCTGAAGAACAAAACTGCTTCACCAGTTAGTTACACTCAAAGAAATGTTGTAGAAAAGTCTGAAAACTTGCTGAAACATTGGTTAATGCAAGAAGCTGTTATTTAGTAAAGATATAACCCTAATTTATCGTACAGTATATAGCCTAGTTTAGTTATCTAATCCAACTACTTTCTCGCCGTGTAACCAACTGCAAACAGTGGCAGTTTCAATGCCAAATTGTATAAGCAGCTGCAGAAGGCTCAGCCAAGCGGCAAATGTCCTGCGGTGACAAAAGCAAAGCACCACCAACTTTTGGATGCTTTAAGGTCCTGGCCAAAAGGTGATGTAACCATGAACCCCCGCCCCTGCCTCCCCATACACCACCCTCCTCTACAGAATCGCCTTTTAATGTGGCCACTTGTCTGGGCTCACTTGGAAGTCCCTGGGAAATCCCTAAAATTTAAGATTCATTTTTCTACTGTTTAAACATTGGCCCAAACTTTCAATTGGAAATCTCTTTGTTGGGCCTTAATTGGCCCGCCCGTCCGTCTGCACGGACTACAGTGCGTTTCATTTAGATTGGCCACACTGTTGCAATTAGAAAATCCTTTGCGGCACCTTAATTGGCACAAACAAATGCAAGCCAACATTAATGAGCAGCCTCAGAATTAAAATAAATTTTTCTGCTTACAACTTTTTTACCCAAAATTAAACGTGACTGAACGGCATTGCATTCTGTGCACGAAAAACCACACACAGTGGTGAAATTTTTATAGAAATTAATCAATGAATGCAATCAAATTCTAACTAGAAAACCAATTAGAGAATAAATGTATTTTCAATTGGAAATGTTTTTTATAAACCAGAAATTCGCGAAATAAGAAAACTCTCTTTCGATCATTGAGAAATAAATAGCAATACCTAAAGTGTAGATTTTACGGTTACTTACCTCTGTTATCCATAATATTCACAGTTATTTTTGCGTTTTGTTGATTTCCTCTTTCCGACTTTGCGTCGCATTTCTAATTTCAATTTGTCTCCTCCTCTTTGTGCTTGCGTACGTCGTAGATAAGGTTGTAAATATGTGTGTACATATGTACGTAAAGATGTATGTATGTATGTAAACGGGCGCATTTTTGCACTTGTCCCGCGGAGCACCACAGGCATTTTGGCAAAGAACCTAAATAAGTTTACCATTAAAACAATATGTATATGTACATATGAATATAATGAACTAAAATCAAATCACTGACCTGCGATCACATCTTATTTATTATGTTACATTTCTTACCACTTTTTAGAAGCCAAAACAATATGTGATCACGCATTTGCAAATATGTTTGTAGTTGCAAGTGCTGCCGTCGGAGCGCCACCTTCGTTTTCGCATAGAACACACCTAAATAATTTACCATTAAAACAATTCACATATTGAACAGAAACCAAAACACTGACCTGCGATCACATCTTAGGTAATGTTTTAGATAGTCTTACCAATTCTTAAAAGCCAAAACAGTATAAATTGGCATTTATGCAAATATGTTTGTAGTTGCAAATTCTGCCGTCGGAGCGCCACTTCCATTTTCGCATAGATCATACACAAATTTACCATTAAAACGTAATACATATCAAACAAAAATCAAACACTGACCTGCGATCACATCTTAAGTATTATTTTACATATTCTTACCACTTTTTTAAGCCAAAACAATACATTTATTGCTTTTAAAATATGTTTGTAGTTTCAAGTGCTGCCGGCAGAGCACCTCGTGCTTTTGTGCATTATTAAGTTCACCAATAATGCAAAATATATTAAACAATACACTAAACACAATTCTGCGAACACTTTAAATGTTTTATTTAACTTATTTCCAACACTTTTCAAGAGCTAAAACAATATTTTAATGTCGCTTAGAACTGCACCGCTTCATGAATGACAACCAACTGAAGAAGTGTGGGGAGAAGTAGCAGGCGCGAAAGAGAGGTAACGGTTAAAACAGATGTTTTGAAGATCTACCGTTTGCTTCACCATTCACAATCTGCTCTGCTTCTTATTAGTCTTTCACAGTGGATCATTTAAAGTGTTACGTTCAGGTTGATATTAAATAATATCGTTTAAATTTGTGCGCTTATTTATTATATTACGTACCTTTTGATTTTTATAAATAAAAAGCCAATTAATTCAGAAATGCACACATAAAGACACATGTAAGTACCTACATTTCGACTTGTACCGCGGAGCACCCTTTGAATTTTGCATATAAAATAGATCAATTCATTCACAAAACTATATACGTTAAAACAATACTTAAAACACAATCGCCCAATCACAATTTGGGATTAGTTTATCTTTTCCTAGCTCTTTTAAAAGCCAAAACAATGCTTAACCGCAGCGTAGTAGAGCAGCTCTACATACGAATAGGCAATGAAAGGAAAACTTAAAAGGCGTAGCAGCGAAAGAGTGGACAACGCTTTGAAAGATCTTTGTCTTTGCCTTTCTTCTCTCACTTTTTGCCTCTTCTTTGTCAATGCATTTGAAAACATAAACATAATCTTTAGATCACTGTCAACAGGCATTTAATCTGCGAATATTATTTTTTTATTTTCCTTTACTTAACGCGAAATTTGGTTATCACCGATTTAAGCATAAAAGCTAACTTAGAATGACGGTATTGTTCCCATAACTAAGCCAATTATGGTCCAAATATAAAAAGTAATACCTCTATGAGTTCGCCTTTAAATTCCTAATCGAACTGTATTCACAGTTTAAAAAGTAAATTTTTTTTTCCACTTTTCGAAAAATTGATGGTTATCGAATGCCAAAGGGGCTTGCTGCCATTTTCCTTCTCAAGACGACAGTATTTTGCTCATAACTTGGTCAATAATGGTCCAAATAGGGAATGCAATACCTCGTTGAGTTTGTCTTCGAATTTCAAACAAAACTGTATACCCACCTTGAAAAGTAAAATTTTTGCTATTTTTCATAATTTTTGATGATGTTACCCCTTATCGTAAATGTGATATTTGGCTTCTCCCCATTTCCCCAAACATTGGTAGTATTCTCCTCATAACTAAGGCAATAATGGTCCAAACTTGGAATGTAATACCTCGTTGAGCTCGTAATTTGATTTCCAATAAAACTGTATCCCCACCTTGAAACGTAAAAATCGTTCCATTTTTTGCAAATTTTGATGATGTTACCCCTTACAGAAAATCCAAAAATTTGTTAAAAATTCAAACTCACAAAATCCCTAAACCAATGATGAGGAAAGTTTGTATTTGTCGTTAGTTGCTCAAAACTGTCTTTGTTTTAGCTCTGAGCCTTCTTTTGACCAAGTTGTAGGTATAAACCCAATAAAATCTATGAACATTTTTTGTCAAAACGCATAATCCTGATTTTGGACCCAAAATAACAAGAATTCTTCCTATAACAAAGCCAATAATTGTCGGAATGTAGAATGTGATATAGCGTTGAACTCGTAATTAAATTTCAAATCGAACTGTGTCCCCACCTCAAAAAGTAACATTTTTGCCATTTTTCTTAAATTTTGATGATGTTACCCCTTACAGAAAACGCAAAAAATGGTTAAAAATGAAAACTCCCAAAATCATCAAACCAATGATGAGGAAAGTTAGTTTTGGTCGAAAGCTGCTCAAAACAGTCTTTACTTTAGCTCTGAGCCTTTTTTTGCCTAATATATGGGCATAAAACCGATGAAAAATAGTACCATTATCTGTCAAAACTCATAATAATCCTAAAAGTAATATGAATTATTCTCATGACAAAGCCTATAATTGTCGGAATATAGAATGTCTTATATCACTGAATTCGTAATTAAAATTCCAAGCAAACTGTATTCACACTTTAAAATGTCAAATTTTTGCCATTTTTCGTAAAAATTATGATGTTACCCCTTATCGAAAATGCGAAAGTGGCTTACTCCCATTTTCCTCCTCAAGACGGCAGTATTATGTCCATAACTAAGCCAATAATGGTCGGAATATGGAATGTAATACCTCGATGAGCTTGTTTTTTAACTCCTAGTCGATCTGCATTCGAAGTTGAAAATATAAAATGTTTTACATTTTTCAGAAAATTTAACCAGCTCAAAAATTATGATAAAATTTAGTTTTGGCCGTTAGATCTGCTCCCTATTTTGACAAAGTTCAAAGTTAATTAATTTATATTGGCTTTACACTCTTTAAACGCACTGTACTTGCTATGACAACTCTGGGCTTCAGAAGCCCCGCTGTGAAAAGTCCTTTGGCTCGTCAAATAGCGCGAAAACTTTTCAAATAGCGTCGCTAGCCGCCTAACCGAGCCCACCCACCCAGCTTTCTCAGCCAAATTTCCCCACCGTTTTCCATTCGCTTTTCCGTCGACGCTTTACCACTTTTCCCCCCACTAGCCTTTTGTTAGCGAGCATTGGCCCATTCAATGCATTTCGTCTCCCTGAATGGGAGCTCTTGAGATTCATTTTCTTTCATTTGTGGCATAATTATGGCAGCGAAATATAAGTAAAAACCAACGCCCCAACGCCTTGGGTTCTCCAAACAAAATTTCCGAGCCTATGAAAAAGAAAAACACCAAACTTCAACTGCACTTTCCTCTGGGGGCGATGAAAATGCTAAAACAATCGATCGGCAAAAGCCGGCGCGCCCATTATTTAGGGCACAATCAACCCAATTTTCAAGTCGGGCGACGTCAGCCAAAATGACTTTTTAATGCTGTTCAATGTTGATTACACTTTTAAGGCCCATAAACCAACGAATTTAAATCCACACATTCACATATCCACACAGCCAATGGCATTGACAACTTATTCGGAGCAAAGCGATGTCTATTAAATAATTGAATTGCTGAGTGTCCAATAAGAAAGTTGATTAATTATTAAACTGACCCAGCATGTTGGCCAGCAAACTGTAACGAATGAACTCAGCTCGTTCGGTTATTGGATTGCTTAAGAAAAATATGCCAAGGGTGTGAATATTAAAACGAATTTATACGATCTGGGAAAATGATTGCCTTGATTTGCTATTGCTAAATCCTAGTAGTTGGCCTTAATTAAGCATATACAGCTTGGAAAATCTTACTGCAGTTTATTAAAATCATCTTAGTTAGCATCTTCCTAAGTAAAGTCAACACATTTTGGCCTGGCTGGGGCTAACTTTAAATTATAAAAGTATTTAATCGGGTCCCTTGAGCAGCCAACCTCCTAACCCCCTTGGCACCGCACTTTGGCCCGCTGCAACTGCTGCCAAGTGACCCAAATCCGGGTCTGCCGTCTGCGGTGCTCGTCTGCTTGGCAATGCGAAGGAGCAGGATCCAACGGCAGCCAACACCCAACATCCAGTTGGGTATCCAATTGCAATCCTTTGGTCCTCGTCTGGCTTTTCAGATGACTTTGAGAGGCTTTTGCGCTTAGTTAGCTTAATTACGAACGCGCTTGGCATCGGGCCGCTGCAGCGATAAGTATCGATTAGTATCGCTAAAGCGAGTACTTTACATGGGCGTACCAACTAAGCAGAGTAATCAAGGTCACACACAGAGAGAGAGAGAGAGATATTAAGTAGGTTTGATCTTTAAAAGTATAATTAAGTTGTACCAATCAAGCAACTAGACTTTGAAAGCAGCTAAGATAAGCTGAATTTAATATATTATTTAATATTTCATAGTTTAGTCCTACTTAATCAGGACATTCAAGTCCTTAAACATCTACATAAAGTATGTTTTGTGGGCAGCATGCCTCTGGTTTTATGCAACCGAAATATCGAGCAGGACAATGCCTGGGGGGCCGGGGAATGCCTGGGGGAGTTGGGGAATGTGGGCTGGAGTATATCCTGCATGCATATGTCAGCAGCGACTACTGGCGAAATTGAAATTCTTATGAAATTATATAAAATGCACTCAAAGGCATTTCGGGGCAGCTTAGCAGCATCAACAACTTTTGGGCGGAGTACGACGACGGTCCTCCGGATGTTTACGCTATTCCGGAAGAAATGGTACGGCATGTGCTGCCCCTCTTTACTCCTACTCCTTGTGCCATTCTGGTTTTTTGGAGGGGGCGGCAATAGCTCCCACTATGAAATCATAATTTGTTATGTCATTGCCATTGAAGCAATTTACATTCCTTTTAGCCTTGGCGACAAATGGCTCGAAGGTGGCAACGTAATTCCGCCATTAAAATAGTTTTGTTTTCGTTTCAGCAAGGAATCCGTTTCCTCAGAAAACGAGACACTAATGATAGACAAGCAATGGTTTTTCTGAGAGAACAATATAATTCCAAGGGAAATTTATTCATTTAATAATAAACTTCATTTGGCAAAAAGCTTAAACTTAGTTTTTCAGCCTTTATTAAACGGGTCTTAGCTGGCTAGTTTTAATCTGTGATTGTGCTGAGATTACTTCAATTCGAAAAGAACAAGGACATGCGATGGGCAGTCTTGGATTGAAATTGAGAAAACAGGAAAATGCAACTCCTGGCAGCTCTTCCTTAATACATGGCAAGAAAAATGTGTATGTGATGGTCAATCACATGATGATAATGATTTTACACATAGTTTCGAATGTTGACTTTGGAATTGTAGTGCCAGAGAGGATTACAAATACACATCGCCCTTTTTGATATCAATCACTTGTCTGAACAATTCGTATTGAAATCTCGCTGATTTCTTTTCTGCGTGTATGTGTGCTCCTGGCCATTTGCCATTTCGCCAGACATAATCCCAACAATCGGTGCTGAAATGTGAATGCCAATGATATGTGCAGCACATCCATACATTGCACATTCATACAAACATGTATATGATGAGAGAGTAGGATGATGTGTGGGCCGTGATGTTTGCACTCCGGTGCAGCGATGCTATAAATAAGCTGGGTATTTATTAGGGGGCAATCATAAACTGCGTTAACACCGGGCACTCTGCCAGCGGGAAGAAGATCCGGCAAACAAAGGAGCCCGTCGAAGTCTCATTGTGCGATAAGCTTTCAATTAAATCTGACCCGGATAACGGGGCGTATGGAAACGGCAACGGCAACGGCGACGGAAACGGAAGTGGGAAGAGATCAATTTCCAATTGCAACACGTACATGCTCACGCACGCACACTCACACACACACACACACACACACGAACATGCATTTGTAGATGTTATGCAGATTGGTATCTGAAGACAAAGCTACGCCTGCTGAAGGTTGCAAGTGGGTGGGCGTATTACCCGGAAATCAGCTAGTAAACTAATCCGATTTCCTGCTCCCCAATTAAATTCCAGAGCAAACTTTGGAATTCTGAGATTCGGAGGAAGCTATATACTTGTCATAACAATGACTTGCAGTCAAAATCCTAACTGAAATCGGAGAGAGATTTAAATCCCACAGCTTCCAAGAAGTATTATGACTTTATCTTATAAGATTTACCTCTTTGCTGCTTCCCTAGAAACTTCATCATGTGGTCGAATGGAGAAAAATGACCCTCCTGTCGAACATTCTTGATTCCGGAGGTGGCATTTCCGCCCAGCGTTTCACCCGCTTGCTGCGCCAGTCCAGCTCATCAGGATCCTCATCGGCATCTGCATCTGCATCCTCATACGGAACCTTGGAGTCCAAGTCCATGCTGGAACCGACATCCTCGCACACTCTGCCAGGCGGACGAGTGCCAATCCTGCACGATTTTGATTCCTCGACAACGGAATCGCCAGGAGCATACCTGCTCGATGGTGTGGCCAGCGTGGCCAAGATGGCCCTGGAGCCAGCTGTCATGGACGTCCTGCCCGATCCGGATACGGATCAGGTACTCAGTAATCTCAACATCACCGCACCATGGAATTTAACGCTCGCATCGGCAGCGGCCACCAATTTTGAGAACTGCTCGGCGCTTTTTGTCAATTACACCCTACCCCAAACAGGTGAGTTGGCTTAAAGGGATAAAGTAACCCCAAGTAGATCGAAATACTATATATAATAAGAGTCAGAAAACCCTAGAGTTGTGATATTTTTTAACAACAATCTTTATTTTTCGATACCCCTTGGCTAGGTCTCTACTGCAACTGGACATGGGACACATTGCTCTGTTGGCCGCCCACTCCGGCTGGGGTCCTTGCACGGATGAACTGTCCTGGCGGATTCCATGGCGTGGATACACGCAGTAAGGAAATTAGTTATTAGGAAATCAGTTAAATTGAATTTAATTAAGATGTAATTAGTTTAATTTAAGTTTATTTGATATTTAATTGTTCAATTTATGAAGTTCTTGACTCGGAAAGCCACGTCCTGCGGTTATCATACCATCCGAAGTTCATATCTGGCGGTCACAATTATACGGATCATTAGCTGGGAATCCGTTCAAGTGCTGGACGGCAAACAATTACATGATTTCGTATTCATCGAAAGGATGTCAATATTTACATGCATGACTGGCGCGTCCATTCAACCGAACTCCCAATCCTTACCGTTCCGTTTCCCGCCCCCTAAAACCCTAGATATCCAATACGTACATATATATATCCCCGACGAGGTCACTTCGAAACTGGGCCGAAAGTGGGCGTGGACAATGCCGGGGGTTGTCCGAGTGTTCCATGCTCATACCTTCACCTGAGCTTCGTCCCGTTTAACAAGGTTTAAAACACCAGCCAATCGATTGCTTAATTACGATCCGAAAAGGTTGCGACCCCTTCGATATGCTAACCCGCTAAATTGAACGCTTTCCAAGGGGGAATTGCATTTTAATAACCGTGGGCAATATGCACTGAGAGAAAAAAGGATACTGCTAACAGGTATAGCCTGTCCAGTGTTAACAGAAAACTAAACTTAAACTTTTCCCCTGAACTTTCATGAACTATAAGCTCAAAATGCAAAATTCCTTAAGAGATATATAATTTCTGACAGTGCATTATTTCCCTGGCCTCATTTCAACGGGCACGGCCGTGCCTAGATTTTTAGCCCCAATCTTTGGCTGGACGAGGTCGCCCATTCGATTGGCATAATTGCACTTGTCAGTCAGTGTGTCACAGTTCGATTACATTCATTAATCCGTCGAATTCCCCTTCTTTTCGATCCCCAGAATTTGCCATCCGAAAGTGCGAGTTGGATGGCCGATGGGGCAGCAGGCCAAATGCCACCGAGGCGAGTCCTCCGGGATGGACGGACTATGGGCCATGCTACAAGCCGGAGATTATCCGCCTCATGCAGCAGATGGGCAACAAGGACTTCGACGTAAGTTGAAATTATTTGAAGTTATCTATGGAAGAACCCAACCTTATAACTTTATGATACTATATAGCTCTATATAGACATTGCCAGGAAGACCAGAACCCTGGAGATCGTGGGTCTTTGCCTTTCCCTATTTGCTCTGATAGTCTCGCTGCTGATATTTTGCACATTCCGCTCCCTGAGGAATAATCGCACCAAGATCCACAAGAACCTCTTCGTCGCCATGGTGCTGCAGGTGATCATTCGGCTGACCTTGTATCTGGATCAGTTCCGGCGGGGCAACAAGGAGGCGGCCACCAACACGAGTCTCTCCGTCATTGAGAATACGGTAGGCTTTCCATTATTATAATATTATAAACATTAATAATACAAACCTTTATGCGATCTGCAGCCGTATTTATGCGAGGCCTCGTATGTCCTTCTGGAGTACGCCCGTACCGCCATGTTCATGTGGATGTTCATCGAGGGTTTGTACCTGCATAATATGGTGACGGTGGCCGTTTTCCAGGGCAGCTTCCCCCTTAAGTTTTTCTCGCGACTTGGCTGGTGTGTTCCCATCTTGATGACCACCGTTTGGGCGAGGTGTACGGTGATGTATATGGACACGACGCTGGGCGAGTGCTTGTGGAACTACAATCTCACACCCTACTACTGGATCCTCGAGGGACCAAGACTAGCAGTTATACTGGTGGGTTTTCATTACGGTTCATTAAGGGAATCTACTTAACTTAACCTTGTCCCATTTTCAGCTCAATTTCTGTTTCCTGGTAAATATAATTCGTGTGCTGGTGATGAAGTTACGCCAATCGCAGGCCAGCGATATAGAACAGACGCGGAAGGCCGTTAGGGCAGCGATAGTCCTACTACCACTATTGGGTATTACCAATCTGCTGCATCAACTGGCTCCCCTGAAAACGGCCACGAACTTTGCGGTCTGGTCGTATGGCACCCACTTTCTCACCTCGTTCCAGGGATTTTTCATAGCTCTCATTTACTGCTTTCTAAATGGTGAGGTAAGCTATGGTGTTCCAAGTCCAAGTCCTAGAATTCCTTAAGATTCAAATGAATATTTACCAAACATCCTCTTAAGGTCCGGGCAGTGCTGCTGAAGAGTCTGGCCACCCAGCTGTCGGTTCGAGGTCATCCGGAATGGGCGCCGAAGAGGGCGTCTATGTACTCGGGGGCCTATAACACGGCGCCGGATACGGATGCAGTGCAGCCGGCTGGCGATCCATCGGCCACCGGGAAACGGTAAGTTTTTGATTGTTAGTCACCTCCAAATGATTCTCATAAGAACATCGTATAAACTCAGAATATCACCCCCGAATAAAAGGCTAAATGGAAGAAAGCCGAGCAGTGCCAGCATTGTGATGATCCATGAGCCTCAACAGCGTCAGCGCCTGATACCACGGCTTCAGAACAAAGCGCGCGAAAAGAGCAAGGATCGAGTGGAGAAGGCGGAACCGGAAACGGAACCGGATCCAGCCATCTCGCGGATTCACAGCAAGGAAACGGGAGTAGGAGGAGGCACGGGATCACGGACTCGCGGCTCCAAGTGGATAATGGGCATCTGCTTCCGGGGTCAAAAGGTACTGAGAGTACCGTCAGCGTCATCCGTGCCACCCGAGTCAGTTGTATTTGAGTTGTCAGAGCAGTAGCCCAAAAACTAGCCGTAGATGTAGCCATATAGCTGTAGCCAAAGAAGTAGAAGTAGAAGTAGCCAACGCCATGTAGCCACCACCACAGTAGCCAGCACCCACCCATCGGACCGGAAATTCCCCTACCCCAAAAACGAAATTAAACCGGAACCAAAATCTCCCTGCCTATGTATGTCTTTCCCTCTGCATCTTACGAAAGGAGCCAAGCTAAAAACAAAAAAAAGGACAAATAAACTCGATTTTTGTTTAAATCATTTAGCTGTGAAAACTCCTTAGCATTTCTAAAGCTTAGCATTTTAAGTTATCAAATTTATAGAGATCTTAAATTCATTAATTCATCATTTCCCCAATCTTGTTTTTGGCTTGCCTCTCTTGCCCTGAACGTAACCTTGTACATATAAACCATACATTCATTTATGTAGGACAAACCCGATCCCTTCTCGAAAACTTTGAAACCCTTTACCCCCCTTCCCCAAATTCGGCCATTCCTGCGTCAAATGAATTTTACCTTTAACTTTCGACTTAATTTTTCTGATGACAATAAATTTCTAATAGCGCCACATTCTGTTCTGGACACGCAAATACACTCAAAAAAAAAAAAACACTCGCACACGGTTATTACTTGATCAATTTTCCAGCAAAACTTGAGCGGCATGTTCTTTTACTTTTATTCATTTTTAAATATTAGATTCAAATATTAACGTTACTGTGCAGTGTGACCAAATCATGTGGTTAACTTAAATTATTAACTGTATATTTTGTAGCATTTTTAAAAAAGAACAGAGAAAAAATACTCTTAATTTATTATTTTATTTATTAGGCTTAGGTTTATTAAGTTATATATTCCTTTAGCTAGTTTTAAAATTTTTTATAAGTTTTAATTTTATAATACAGCAGAGGGTGTTATTATTTCCACCAACTTTTTATCTAATTTAATGCTTATTTAATTTATTTATTTGTATTTGATTTTTATGTGCCATATTTTAAATTTTTCAATTAAAATTCAAAAAAATTCAAAAACTTTATTATTTGAAAGAGCTTCTGTTTTCCGATCTGGTCACTCTGCCAGTCACGATCGATCACGTTCACTGCCACTGCCTTGAATTTTGCTAGCTGCGCTTTGTTTTGCAACGAAAACTTTGCCACGATCAATATAAAACTAATGGGGTCCGCAATCGAAAGCAAAAATTAAAAAAATCCCTCTTTGGGTTATCTTCCATCTCTGTTTCCCACTCAAAATGCGGCACTCTTTTCGGACTTTCCCCTTTTCTCTCTTGTGTCTTGCTTTTCGTTTGCAGGACAAATGTGTGATGCCGGGCTCGCAGAAGACGCAGCAAATATTTATGACGTCGCAAATGGCGCCGACGTCGACGCTGGCAGCGGTAGCTACAACAATAACCACTACGACCACAACAACAACCGCAGCAGCAGCAAAAACAACAATAGCCACTATCGCAACAATCGCAACGATTACGAAGTCAAAGGCAAAAGCCAAAGCGATTACGAAAATGCCGAAAGCTTGAAGCGCCTCGATCTCCATCCCCTCCCTCATTCACACACACACACCATCTTGCTCTCCTTCTTTCCGTGTTCCTTATGGATAGAAAACGAAAGCGAGAGAAAGAAGAAGAGCCTAGCCTAGCACTTGCAAGCGCAACTGTACTAAACTAAACAAAACTAAACTAAAAAGCTGAAGGGTATGCACGATTTTTGTATACAGCGGCTTCGAAAGTACCGCAATAAGTTTCAATAGGATAAATACCGATCAATATACACACACACACATACATACATATATGTATCCAATATTTTTGTATATTTACCAACAGACTGTTGGGTCACAATTTTTTTTGGCATATACATAAATATATATATATAGAAAAGGATATGTGTAATTGATAAATGTAATTGTTAATCGATTTTTTTTAAAAGATGCTTAATATACATACATATATGTAACGGTATTTACATAAAGCATACATAGAGAAAAACATATTTACATACTTCGTATTTACACTGTCGCATGCAAAAGAGAAACCTGATAGAAATGTCGGAGCATAGATCGTATATTGAATATACAAACATATATATTATGATTACACCCGTAAAGAGAGTACAAAGCACTTGGAATGGTAAAGAGGAACAAAGAGTAAATAAACGGAAATTGAACGTATCATTATGTCACATCATCTGATCAACGATCAGTGCGAATATTCAATATTCAACCTAACTTTAAGCTTACTATGCATTTCAAATGGAATATTTTGTGTGTGTGAGAAATCACGAATCGCGTTTTGATTTCCTTTTTTTTTTGGGTTCTTTTTCGCTTCACGCAATTTTCAAAACTAAGAATTAAAGCCGAATTTAGAATGGGAACCTTAAAGCCAGAACACCCAGTGGTCGCTGGCAAACTATTACGTGTTTAAGGCTAAATGGAAAATGAATAAACATGATTTTATATGCATAAATACTAAACTAATGCACCTGCCTACTTTCTTAATCTTGACTTTGGATCAGGTCCGAATGCTCATACAGATTGGCACGAGCTGCTAATGGGTATTTAAGCTCCAAAAACGGAAAAGATATTAATCGGACGATTTAATGGGCCATCAAATTATTGTTGGGGATCTCTAAATGATCTTTAAATTATTGATTGAGTGATTCAAATTCTCCAGAATGCATTTGTAGGAACAAATTCAATTGCCTACTTAAAGAGAAAAGCGATTTGCCTATCGTTAGCTATCTTCGAAGCTCAGAGCTTCCTATTCTAAACTGTCTCAATTACATCCGAATTAGGCTACTAATTGCTAGTGCTAGGCAAACCGACTTGCATATTAATAGCCTATTTATAGTTTATAAAAATGCTTTGAAGGTATGAAGGGTAAACAAATAAACATGCACTGAGAAAAAAAGTGGCACAAAAGATTTGGAAAAAAATGTTCTTTCCAAAGGGGTTTCCAACTTCATTACTACGTATACTTAATATTTTTATTGTACCTATTTGGTCATCCTATATTTAATGTAAATGATTAATTTAAAATCATTCAATTTTTTCTAACTAATTTCAGTACTTATTATTTTTTGCGTATACTTGATATTTTATCCCTACATTTTCGGCGTATACTTAATATTTCTTGCTATACCTTCTACGTATACGTGATATTAGCTGACTCTTTTTTTCGTAGTGCAAGTACATTTAGACACACATCAGCCAATGGACAATTGAAACCACAAACATAGCGATTACAAAGGTTACGATTACGGATTGTATTTCCAAGAACGACAACATCATGTTACAACATCCGGATCACAACGAACGACAACAAAAACGAGAGGTGGTCTTTTGGGAAGTGAGGTAGCCGAGTTGAGTGTTTGGGTGGTGGTGTTCAGGTCTAGCAGCAGGTGGGTTGTACAGGTGGGTGATATATGGTTGGAAGGCTATACATATGTATACATAAAATCGGTCTAGAAGAGCAGATCCTCGTCGCCGTCCTCATCGAGGATATTTTGCACCTCCTTGGTCTCGGCCACTTGGCCCAGACGACGCTGCTCCTCGCGAATTTTATCGGATGCCTTCCGAGCCTCGCGCTTCTTATCCTGAATCTTCTTCAGCCGATAGAACTCCTCACGCTCGAGCTCATCCAGCTCGCTTATGATGTACTCTATGGTTCGGTTTATGCGGGGGATAATCACTGGATAAGAGAGGAATCATTAGTTTAGAAATGGATAGGAACTGAAACGCACCGTGCTCGATGGCATTCACCCGCCTGTTGGTGACCTTGATCACATCGTCGAGGGTCACGAATGAAGTCTGCAACGAGGCCAGCTCCACGAGCAGGCGCACGGCGCTCTGGTAGTTTTTCTTCAGCTTGGCCAACTGCTGACCGCCACGTGCCAGTCCGGCCAGCTCATAGGTATCCACACCATCCGTATACGGTTCAAAAACAGGCAACGTCACCCCGGCCACGTTATCCTTCTTGGTGCGTATCTTGATCTGGGCCTTTGTCACATTCTGCAGAACAATCTGGTTGATATCTCCGGTGGTAAACTTGACCTCGGCCAAGGAGAAGGCAGCCTCTTTCATCACCTGACCCATCAGGGTTTTTGTCTAGAATTCGAAAGAGAACTGATAGCAGCTTCCTTTTTACAGGTTCAACACCTCACCTCTATGATCTTGCCCAGAATCAGACGAAAACGCATCTGCAGGGCGTCTGCTTTTTTCTTAAGCAAACCATGTCCCTTGGTGGCGCCGGCCAAACGCGATTTCATCAGCGTTTGGGCACTACAAAGGGCTTTATGAATACCACAAAGAAACACTCCCAGCAAGGATCAACTACTCACCCACGTGAGGGAAATATGGGCAGGCGGTCTTTGGCTGCCATCAAAACTCAAACAAAAAAGGCTACTAAAAAAATAAAAACACAAATACGACACGCACCACGCCTACCAAATCCGAACTATAAATAACAACAACAAAATATTTACTAAATATATGCGACACCACGAAAATAAAACAGACGACAACTGAGGGAAAAGCGAACGGAGAACAGCGATCAGCGAACGGCGAACAGCACGACAACAAACTGGGCCAGCGAATGAAGAATGAAGACTCATCTAGCGACCTGGCGAGAGAGTGACGATCTCGGGATGGCATAGAATTGGCCGCCACTCAGCTGTTCCGGAACAGCTGTCACACTTTATAGCTCGGTATGCCTAGATAAAAGGTATATCCAATCTATAAACGTTTCTAGCACGGAGATTTATAGAGTTTGGTTTTACAATATTTCAGATGCGGACTGCTGATGCTCTAATATCTTATCACTTTGTTCTTTAGCATAACAAATATTGTAATTATAATTACTATAAGTTGTATTTCAATATCTAGATAAGGAGTATCTATTTGCTGTGAATTTAGATCAGAACTATAGGCTTTACTAACTGATATGCTTGTGATCTCAGTAATTATAGTCCAACAACCAATTATTAGTGGTACGATCATAATAATTAGTTAAACCATTGTAATGCCAAAAATTCTCTAATTGGTATCAAATTATGCTGTCAACAAGTTGTTAGTTTAATTAAATGAGAACTTTGATCACATTTTTAATTCCCGTCTTGTCAAATATTTTCCAAACCACTTTTCTAACACAATATGACTTTTTCTAACAAATTCCAAAATTTGTACTGCTTTTGGCCATGAATTTGGGACGCCTGGCCCAAGTCGGACTTCAAGGGAACACTCTAAGGATACAGCACTTCAAGGTCAGCTTTTGATTAAAACCCTTCGATAGTCACTTTCGATAGACCGATTGTCGTTTTGATAGATTTCTGGCGTGCAGAGATGCCATTTCCATTTATTACCGTTAGCGCAGATTGATTTCAATTGAGCTGATTGTCATCAATAACGCACACCAATTTTCGGGTGGGTGCCTCAAACGGCAAACAAAGAGCTAGCTGCCACACGCAGATAAGCACACAGCGGCACTGACTTTGAAATACCTTTGTGCTCCGGCTATTTGGATGTCTCCGGGTCTCCGGCAGCGGTTACCGCTACGTCCATCCGGACCAGTGTCACGCAATTTGAATATGCGTCTTGTGGCGTCATGTGCCTCGATTTGGGTGTACATAGTGTCTATTAGGCACTCGTCTGCAGAGACAGAAAAGACTTTATAACAGCAATTTATATCTTATATATATTCTCCTTATATTCATCACTTCACATACTTAGACTTTGTTTATATGATGTATAAGGCATAGAAATATCCTTGTTATTTTAGTAGTTGAAAAGTCAAACTTTGTTTTTTTCAGTGCAGTTTTGCCATTGTGTGTCAATGGACACGTGTGTGCCCCATTTGGCCACAGCACAGTGGCGACCAAGTAGGGGTATTAATTAAAGTAATGAATATGCATAGCATGGAGTTGCGAGGTGATGAAAGGTCAGAAAGTAGTGGGATTTATGGTCATGCAACAGTTGTCCGTGGGGCGTTGTCTAGACTCCCAAAAGAGTCAAGGTCGTGCGGAACATACGGATATGTACAAACATATCTGTTAAAAAACTTTGTAAAAAATAAACAATTGTCCAAAAATTAGTACAATTATGCTCTTCTAAGTAATTTATTTATTTAAGAAAACATTTTCAGCAAAAATTTACTTCATAAGCTTACTTAAAACGCATTTTATCCTCTAATTTTTGTGTCAAAGGCGATAAATTAGGGATTCCCCCTCCAATTTTAAATACGGCACGTCCCAGACATTGAGAAAGTCAAAATCTGTATATAAGTGTCCTTTGTACGGCGAATATAACCTCACAAAGGCCGGATCAACAGTTGGTATTCGTACGAATGGGGGGAGACTCTTGATGGATTCTCCGGGGTAATGCGAACGGGGAAAACTTTCGATTTTACTGGGCCAGCAATTGTATGGGTATTTGTATTTGGGCATAAGTCACGGCCAGGCAATCGCTCCCGTTGCCAAAGTGTGTGTACGTTGCGTATACGCATGGCTGTCACTCGACAACAACAACGACGCTCCATCCCATCCCAAAGGACAGCATTTTTCGCATGCTTCGGCAATGAGGCAAACACGAGGGCGTACACTGAGCGCATATAGTAAACTTTTTAGAGAATCTTGACAAAATCTTTATCGGACTTTCTCATTTATTTAAACTTTAATCTTTAGAAAGTAAATATTTTCCATTGTGCTTCCACTTCTAACAACTTTACTTATTAACTTAGTAAACTATTTTTAAGTATAATTTAGTCTCAAACATTTTCTCCAAGTGCACAAATGAGATGCTGTTGCTGGTGGTTCGCTTTTGTCGGCTGCTCCAGCTGCTCCAGTCGCATTTCGCATCTGAAAGCGCCCGCAAGTAGGTTACACATTTTTTCCAGCTACGCCAGTTGGCCGAGGAAAACAAACAACAAGTCTCTCAACCGTCCAGCTCATCCGATCCAAGCATCCAGGATTTGCAGAGTAAGTGGAACTAACTTCTAAATTCCATGGGATTGAAATCGAAATCGGTTTACCACAGGTGATTTGACCTTTAACACGGTCTTTAAGATTAAATAGACATGTGGACGGGGGAGTGTCACTGGGGCGGTTTTCGATGGGGGTGTGTCATTAGGGCGCCACAAAGGATAGGGAAAGTGCAATGGGAGCGAGTGAGAAACAAAAGGTTTGAAGTTAAAAGGGCAGCCAGAGAGTTGCGACTAATTGAGTTATAGAAAAAGTTTGTCCTTCACATAAGCATGTACAAGTACCAGATATATACATTCTACTTCTCTAAGCAGTTATTTTAAGCAATTTATTTCGGTTACATGAATGGTGAAATTATGAATTAGTTGAGCCTTTAAATCTAGTATGACGAAACGAATACAAATTTTGAAATATATATTAAGGCTTGAAGGGAAGTGAAAGTAATAGTAATTATAGTGAATATCAAACACTGGTTTAATGTTAATAAGAATACTTTTTCCTCAAACAGAACTTTGCTAGCATCCGTAGGTTAAGTGACTCCGACGGCTGCGATAACATGGAGTACAAAATGATCGGACCGGAGCACAGTGGCCAAGTGTTGGAGCACCTGCGTCGCAACTTCTTTGCCGACGAGCCGCTGAACAAGGCCGCTGGCTTATGCCAAAACGGAAGCAGTTGCTCCGCTTTAGAGGATCACTGTGCGGAGGCCATAAAGGATCGTATGAGCGTGATGGCTGTGGATGTGAAGGATGAGGGAACCTGTAAAATAGCCGGCGTTGTCCTAAATGGCATATTGAAACCAAGAGACACGGCCAAAGCGCTGGACAAACTGGGCTCCAATGGCGATGAAGATTTCCAGAAGATCTTCAAGCTCCTACACTGTCACAATATCAAGCACAATCTCTTCGAGCACTTCGATGTTGACAGCGTATTTGATGTGCGCATTCTATCGGTGGATTCTTCCTATCGCGGTCAGGGAATTGCCAATGAGCTGGTCAAGCGATCTGTGGCGGTGGCCAAAAAAAATGGGTTCCGTCTGCTGAAAGCCGATGCCACTGGTATCTTCTCCCAAAAAATCTTCCGCTCACATGGATTCATTGTCTTCTCTGAGCAACCTTACGACAAATACACAGATGAAAATGGCAAGGTGATCTTGCCCGTAGAGTCGCCCCACATCAAGTTGCAGCAGCTCTACAAAACAATCTGTGGAAATGACCAGGATAACAAGGAGCCGGCCCATTAAGAAGGCGACCTGCAGGCTCAAATTCAGAACAATAATGTTTTTATTTTCTACATACAAGCATAGTTTTCTGGAATGCATTCTTAAAACAAATATGGAACTTAGTTAGGTATACGGAATACGAAAAATAAGCTAAGGACAATTTCAAGCAATTCTGATCCCTTAAACTAATTCTTATTGGCAAACATTTCTTTAACAATATATATTTAAGTTAGTTTTAAAGTTTCAAATGAAAAGCAAGTTCTGTTCAGTGCGATTTTCCTTTTAAGTTCCACTTTCAAAATATCTATCGGAAATATGAGTCCAAATTAGGATTCTCCGGAAAAGTTACCTTACAAAAATGATCATAATACTTTACATTGCATTATTAGAGCCTGGGCCCAAATGCACAGATGCTGGGCTAACCTTTAGATTTTGTTTGGAATAATATTGCACTACATAAAGTATACTAAACAAATATGAGGGGAAATGAACTAAGAAATATCCCTAGATTACTTTTCGTTGACAGTTTGCCTACATAGTGTGGGCAGCTGCCTGGCTAGTTACCATAAACGTAATTGTTTTTTATGGGGACCAACTGCTAACAATACCTAAATAAAGTACACTGTTGTGCCAAAGTTAACCAAGCAGCTCTTTCATTAAACCTTCTTCTCTAAGTCCCCCGACATGGTCTCATTCTAAAGTCCTAATATCACAAGCACAGATTCCAATACCCCTTTCACAATACCTGGCAACCTGGCAACTGCAGGTACTCCTGTTTCTATTCCTTGTTAGGGTTGTAGTCATTTTACTCCTTGGTGGCTTTATTCTCATAGATGAAAATGATGTCCTCATCGGTGCCGTAAGCACGTCGAGCCGTGTCCATGGACTCTATGAGGCACCGACAAATGTCTGTGGAACAGAGCCAAGATTTAAAAATCAATGATTTGGCTTTAGGATAGCAAATTTGTTGTTGGTCGTTGGATTACTTACGGCCATCGTGGACCTCGGGATTGTGATAGAAAAGCTTCTGGGCGGCCATATCGTATCCACAGAGCACAACGTAGTGTCCCGCGTACCTTTTGGGTTCATGTAGGCGTGTATTTTGAACGATGCAAGGTATATTAAAACATCTTTTCATTAGGGATTTGGGACTTGGAAATTAGGAATTGGATTTTGGGAAAGCTAGATAGACATCTTACCCGAATTTTTCCAGGACATTGCGTTTGCACACCTCGCAAGTAAGCAGCGAGGCGTTGGTTAGCAGAATGACGGGTCCATGGCGGGCCAAATGTCGCAGGATGACCTCCATGCCAACGGTGCGCTGCTCCACGCGCAGCCCATGTGCCCGGGCGTCCTTGAACTTGCGCGTCACCCGTCGTTCGTCCTTGTCAATGATCTTGGAATAGTAAGTGTGCTGGGCGTAGTTGGGATCTATGCCGAGCGTTTGGGTAAAGTATTCGTGCCGCACCTAGCAAATGTTTTGAGACATATTGAATGCCAAGGTTAAATTAAACGTATTATGGTAAATGTAAACCTGGTAGCGCATTAGCAGATAACACAAGTCAATAGTCCAGGTACTGGATCCAAAACCCTCTTCACCGCACACTGCATCAAAGTTTCCAAGGAGCTGTTCCCTTTGCTGAGCAGAGAGTATCATGATAATGCAGGACAACCCGCAGTCCCAATTGTAACGCTGTTGGTAGTGCGTTAAATTGTAGTGCTTGCTCGGCGGAAGTCCGTTCATCCTGGTCAAGTCCTTGGGTTCAACTCGTCCTGTTCCCTCTGCTGGGCTGCTTCTGCCAATCTGGCGTCTTCAAGGGGAATGTTTTGTTTTTGTTTTAGTTTTTTTTTATGATGTCCAATGTGACCGTTGTTAGCGGAAATACCTACTTACGCCAGCTTTTTGCCGCCAATTTTTATGCGAAAACTAAAAATTATTTTAAATTAATGCTTAATTTCACTGAAAAAGTTTAAGTACAGCTTAGTAACTATCTACTAAATTAGTACTAAATACAACTGTATCATTCTCCATCTTAAGAAAATAATATTTTTCTTATCTTGATATTGAGCTTTGGAAGTCCACAAGCGGATATACCAATGTAAACCATTCTTCAAACAATTTCAATAGGAATAAATTTATTTATTAAATTAACATAAAGCTAATACTATTAACATTATTATTGATATGTATGTCGCTAACATTCGTATTTCTTTGCACAGAAGCAAAGAATATTATTAATCTGTCAGCAATATATTTACAGAAAATTTTATTTTATTTCGAATTTTTTAATTCGAATCGCGATTTTTGCTATGTTTAATGTATATTTTAACTAATAATTAATAAGAACTTAATAATTACAAATAAATAATGTACCAATATTAAATTCCAAAACTGCAATCCCCACAAAACTGCATAAAAACCTCTACAGGAAACCTACCATATATCCTTCGGGACGATAGTGTACAAATACTGCTAGGCTATGCTTGTGTTATTAATCTGTTGTGGGAATGCAATATTTGCTTAGTTTTTTATAAATTATACATAATAAAATTAATTAAAAATCAATCCCTAAAGATTCCAAAAAAACTATGTAAATAAGAAACAAGAAACCTATCAACTATCCGACTGGACGAAAGTGTACAACTACTGATGTGCAAATTACATATATAAATTTATTCTAAATGTAACATTTTCTGCGAATGATGCAAATTGTACCTAAAATAATTAATAAAAAATTAATCAAAAGCCATTTCCCGCCAATTTCTACACAACTACATGCATAGAAACTCCTACAGGAAACCTACCAACACATTCAACCCCATGACGGTGTACACCTACAGTAAGCAGATTCTCGTGTTAATCCATTCTGGTCACACCGCCAAATTATTTTATTTATTAGTGTGACCATAATTATTATTATTTTCACGTGTGGCATACAAACGAGCCGAAAACCAAGCGCTTGCTTAAATAAACAAATTGAAAGCCGAGCAAAGAGCGGCCGGTGACCACCGGAAACAGAAGGAGTTTCTAATATTCCAAAATATCCAGCGGACTTACCCGCAAAATCGGCGGCGTTTTCATAGCCGGAACAACAAGAAGAAGAAGCACGTGTGCGGCGTGCCGAAAAAAGGGAAAATAAACAAGTAGGCGTGAGGGGAAGCCAAGGAGGATAACCCTTATACGGAGGACATGGTGCCCATCGGAGCCGTACATGGCGGCCATCCCGGAGTAGTGCATCCGCCACAGCAACCGCTTCCCACGGCACCTAGTGGCCCGAATTCGCTGCAGCCGAATTCGGTATGCCAGCCGGGGGCCACCACCTCTTCGAACAGCAGCGCCTCCAACAAAAGCTCGCTATCCGTGAAGCCCAACTACACGCTGAAGTTCACCCTGGCCGGACACACCAAGGCAGTATCAGCCGTCAAGTTTAGTCCGAATGGCGAATGGCTAGCTAGCTCATGTAAGTATATAATTTAAAGTCGTACTTATTTACAATGTTATCACAATCATATTGTTGGCTCATATTTTCCCAAGCCGAAAAACTATAACTTAGCCTTTAAGTAAGCAATAACACCTGCACACCAACTGTTAGTTATATCTCCTCATTTACTCTTCAGCCGCCGATAAACTCATCAAAATCTGGGGAGCCTATGATGGCAAGTTCGAGAAGACCATTTCTGGCCACAAGTTGGGCATCAGTGATGTGGCCTGGAGCTCTGACTCGCGACTCCTCGTCAGCGGCAGTGATGACAAGACCCTCAAGGTCTGGGAGCTCAGCACCGGAAAGAGTCTGAAGACATTGAAGGGGCACAGCAACTATGTGTTCTGCTGCAACTTTAATCCGCAGTCAAATCTGATTGTATCCGGCAGCTTCGATGAGAGCGTTCGCATTTGGGATGTGCGCACTGGCAAGTGCCTGAAAACTCTGCCCGCTCATTCGGATCCCGTTTCTGCAGTTCATTTCAATAGGGATGGCTCACTTATTGTGAGCAGCAGCTACGATGGACTCTGCCGTATCTGGGACACGGCCAGCGGACAGTGTTTGAAGACCCTGATTGACGACGACAACCCGCCTGTCAGCTTTGTCAAATTTTCGCCAAACGGCAAATACATCCTGGCCGCCACATTGGACAACACGCTCAAGTTGTGGGACTACTCAAAGGGCAAGTGCCTCAAGACGTATACGGGCCACAAGAACGAGAAGTACTGCATATTTGCCAACTTCTCGGTGACAGGAGGAAAGGTGAGATTAGATTCTTCCATGTTAGATGTTAACGTCATTTCCATTTATAAATTAATGAATTTACCAATGTCTCAACAAATCTGTTAACAAATTTCCGACTATTTTTGTAATAGTTTTTTTCATACAACGCATTTTTACTTTTCAGTGGATCGTAAGCGGCAGCGAGGACAACATGGTCTATATTTGGAATCTACAGAGCAAGGAGGTGGTGCAGAAACTGCAGGGACACACTGACACCGTGCTGTGCACTGCCTGCCATCCCACGGAGAACATCATCGCTTCTGCCGCGCTCGAGAACGACAAGACCATTAAACTGTGGAAGTCGGACACATAGAGTGGCTGGTATCCAGCTGGAGGATCAGCTTTGGCTTCTGCCTGCACACATACATTTCTTTGATAATGTAATGTGAAAGGAAAAGTCTAATTTTAATTTTAATACCCCTTTTTTTTGTATGCATAATTTAAAGGAGGAACCCCTAAATTCTATTTTAAATCACAATTTAAAATTCACATTCTAAGGCAGAAGAGGAAAAACCCAACAAAAAAATCGGAAAAAGAAGAAAAAACAAATTAATGTATAAATATTTATTAGCCTATTTTCTTGGCCACCAAACGCGAGAATATTCCCCCAAAAATGATTGTAACCCTTTGACACAGCCACACACACCCACAAAAACTTATGATGATCTTTCGGTGACGAGAAAACTAAATTTAAGAAAATCACACGCATAGGAACTTGGGAAACTCCCGAGTGCCAGAAAGAATATATATAAAATACGAAATGTAAATTTTGAATAAAAGGAAACACGTCCTCGGTGGCGCCCAAGGGCCCCTGCCTCTTGGGCGTTATCGAGGCGAGTCACTTATTTGTAATATCTGAATTTTGTTTGGCTTTTACTAACAGTAGGGTGGATAATATTGCTCTCATCCTTAAATCGAAATTGTATAAGCTAAATTTAAATAAATGTATATTTAGTTAGGATATTGGTTCGAATAGTGTTTATAATATATATTTTTTAAAACATCGTAAGTAATTTTAACGAAAAATAATATTTCCTTATGGTGAAGATAAAACTAAATTCTTAGTTTTAATTTTTTAAGTAATACTTTTTCATATTCTGGCGCCAATTGCAGTGTTACCGTTCTCAAGTGCATTATTTTTGGTGAGGTCACACTTACACGCCACCAATAAGACCGGACAATACTGCATTTTCACAGCGGTGCGCGACGGTCACTCGGCAAAACGAAAATCGAAAAACCGACGAAACTCGGAGAACACGGATTCGACTCTCGAATCTGAACTTGACCGAATCCGTAGTCCGAATCCTCTGCAATGTGCGCGCCAATCCGCAGAACAGTCGCCCAGTGAATTTGGCACTTTGCAAATAAATTTCGCTCCGCCGCCGTCGCACACACACAAACCCCCGCACCGCGCACACACACACCGCAACAAGCCTAGTGAAAAAGTTGCAATAAGACAACAAAAACCGACGTGCTGGTGGGAAAATCGATTTTCCTTTAACCAAATCTTAACACTCGTTGTTAGCTTGTGCTCTTCCGAACGTCTATATTTTCATTAATTTTTTTTTTGTGCAAAGTACGCCTAGAGCGAGGGAGAGAGAAAAAGCGGCGTAAACCGGTGAAGAGAGAGGGAGAGTGTTCTTCGGCAGAAAATTAGCAAGGCAACAAACGTTTAAAAATATATACATATATTCCAATATAAAATTTGCTAATATTAATGACAACTCAAGATCACCAACAAAAACAAAAACCCAGCAACAAGAAATTCGAATACGAAAATAAACCAAACAAATCGGCGGGAGCAAGAAAAGAGAGAGAGAGAGTGTGAAAGACGGGAGAGGCGCCAAAAGAAGTATATAATTTTCGCGGCACACCCAAAAACGCGGAAAACTCCCGCCCATCCTCGACACGCCTTCAAGCCTCCTGCCACACCAATAACAATAACAACCTGCAGCGTAGAGAAAAGCAAAGAAAATCAACGGACAGATAGAAAAAGAAACCCAAACATTCGGACACTTCCTCTTCTTCTTCCCACTCCGTTTTGGCATGGAAAACATGGTAAGTAAAGATACATGTTTACTTTCCACGGGTGTAGCTACGAATATATTCGCAGGGGTCAGTCGCTGAATCAATAAATAAGTCCATAATATAAAATGCAGATATAGTCACAAATACTTCGATAAAAACCACATTAACATCAATGTACACCACACTCCTTGTCTGTCTACGCCCTTGGTTAGCCACCCGCTAACGAACCTCCCCTCCTGACCGCCTCTTTTCGCCGCCCTTGGGCTGCCTATTAGCACATTTCGGTTAGTCGTTGTTTTTGTCGTCTGTGTATGTGCACAGCTGCGGGCAAAATATTATGAAGAAATATACAATTTACAAAAAACGTTAATATATTAAAAAAATATATGCAATCCTGACAAAATATGTTAAGCTACAGAGCCATCCTACAAATACAAATACTGTTTCCGAATTCTAATTCAGTTTGAGAATAAGTTTTTTAAGCAGGATCTGCCAATATAGTGAGATTTTTATACACATTTCTGGAAATTAGTTAATTAAAGGATTTTTTCCTTTGTAAATATTAAATTTAAGTTTTCTGGAGTACTAAGGCTAGCGAACTAAAGTCCTATTTTCTTGATTGGAGTTGTGCAGCTAGCGTGTAGTTTTGTTATTATTTTTCGGTGTGGCATTGTGACCTGTTAACTTGGAAAGTTACTCGGGATCACGTGACTTTCGCCTGCATTCAATATTCATAGCCAGCGGGGAATGTCCTTGAGCGAGAGTTTCGCCCGCCGGGCTAGTTTGGCCCCCTTTTAACCCCCCTTTAACGTGTCGGGCGCTGCAGGGTGTGTGTTTAACCCTTATGTCAGCACTCCCTCAATGTACAGTCTCTACAAAAAAAAAAAAGAAAAGAAAACGAAAAGAAAGCAATGTACATGCATTTGTGTGTTAATTTAAGTCTATGTAAACATCTTCCCAATGAATAGATTAATTGTGGAGGAAGGCACCTAAGCAGCATTGACAATTCGGCGGTATAAACATTGTATTTCCGCCGCGAGAACTGTTGCCGCTTGCCGGAAACGTTGAGTTAACCAAATATTTGGGATATGATTAAAAACATTTTGTACTTCAAATGTAAAAATCAACGTCTTCTCGGCAAGAAATTGTTGTCTAAAATAGAACATTATAATTGATCGCATACAGTTTATTAGGAAATGTATAATTATTCTAAAGATATCCGCTAAGAAACCGATCTAGATCTCTTTAAGATATATGTATATAGTAGTTACTTTTAACACATACTCGTATGATACATTTATTTAGGCTTAGACCAGATGCGCTTTCTGAATTGCTGATTTAGATAAGAAGATATGAGGGCTTTAGATATAGAACGTTATACACTAAATGGATAAGGATATTATGGTCATGAGAAAAAGTACGACATAAGTTTAATATATTAATAGATTTATAGAAATGTGAACAACCAAAGAGCTCTATAAAGTAGTTTTTGCAACAATTTTTGTAGATCTTATCCCTGAGAGAAGTGCATTTGCAGTGCGACTTGCAACCTACTCATCCCACCCACATTTCCTTTGTGGCCACAATTAACGAATGCTGATTGTGTGCTCTGCCGGCGCTTATCTACGCACAGATACAAACGAACACGCCCCGTGTGTGCTTGCTGGTGTTTGCTCAGCCCACTGCGATAAGCGCTTTGGACCTGTCTTTCTGTCTCTTTTTTCAGCCCTATAAGTGTCTCCAAAACTAGCCGGGCACTACCGTCCATTACTCCTTCACTGGAGGCGCGTGACAAACGACAGCACAAAAGAACACCCATAATGGGGCGAACAAGAAAACTATCACCTGGAATTCAGTATATGTCCCTCCTACCTATTCCTCACTGTCCCTAACTTCCTGCCCTTTGTATTACGTCATGTCGGGGGTAGTGCCTACCGAATCTACCTTCGTTGCCACTCTGCAGCAAGGAGACTCGCACCCATCTTTCGGTCAGTGACTGTGCTAATGTCCTTATCGAATAATTTTCGACATGCAATCATCCTATCAGTTATCTGCTCCAGTTCTTCCGATCCTTCAGAATTGGGTGTACAGCAGACTGGCATCTGATATTCATGGCATTGGAATGACCCACAACTATCCCAGTTTTTCTGACCCATGATGTCATAGCGGGCGATGGACTACCCACATCTTGTGAATCTATTTGGTCTGTTTTGCTGGCCAATGGCCCTGAAAGGAGTTTAGAATATATTGATATTGTTCATGTCTCTACCTCTTTTATAATACACATCCTAAAAATGTTGTGACGTACCTCTCCATATGGCAATCGTCATCTCTTTAACCCATGACGATATATCTCAAGAAGCAGCAGAGTGCAAACGCTCCAAATTAGTCACCTGCTGTGGCAGGCACTTCTTATTATCTGAACTCGTTGTTGTGATTCCAATGATTCAAGAAGTGACCGGCAACCTCGTCGTGATTACGACATAATCAAGCCTTACACTCGAAAGAAAAATCTATTGTAGTATATTTAATTTCTTTTTTAGTTTTATGGTTTTTACTATAAATAAATATACATTGTTTTTGGTTTAATTGCTGTCTGTCTGAAAAATATAGTTCACTTTTTACGATCGGTATTCAAGAAGTGTGCGAATCATAAAGAATAAATAGACACTCCTAAAAATCTGTGGAAAACTTAACATCAATTGATAACGAAAGAAATCCGGTTTAGGTATTTAAGTACTAAGTGAATCATTAAACTCTGGAAGTCCCAATTCGATTTGGTTAATCACTAAAGTGACGTTTAATGCATCGAATTGAGATGATGGCTTAGATTTGCGCAGTGCCGATAGCTCCTGGCCAATACGTAACACTAGGCTGTTATTATAGGGGTTTTCGTTTACTGGGAGGTGATTCTTCTACGTGTACCAAGTACATACTACCAACAATGGTTAGCGGCGCTCCATTTCCACTCTCTACCGTCCGCCCACCGCCCTCCTCTGATTGTGTTCTACGCTTGATAACGTATTTAATTTATTATTATGACGGCGCACACACACACACAGACACTTTTATATTTCATATGGGCTGGTGTACCTGACCGATTCCTATGGAGCTTAGTGTACCGGCGACCGTGTTCGGAGCTCCAAGCACGAGAGGAAGAGTCAGAAAACGCGCGTACAAAACAAATCGAATCGCGTCGAAAACGTGCAACGAATCAAAGCGAAATATACGAAAAAATACGAATAATAAATAATAATAGAAAAAAAAAACGAAAACCCGCCATAATGGACTGGTGAGCGGGGGGTCTTAAGGGGGGCAAAACAAAACAAAACATCCCATTGGCAGTGCCTGTAATTCATAACACCTGGAACGATCCCCAGTGAACTGGGGATTTCCCATTCATAGAGCACTCCGATGGACTTTGACATTGGCTTTCGTGTAGTGCACAGGGAAAAATGTTTGATGTTTGAACTTAGTTAATATCTATAGTTAAACACCGGATTTATATAATGGCAAAATATGGTTACATATTTGTAGTTATAGAGTTCTCATTCCTTGGCTAGAGATTAGCCAAAAGTGCGCTGACCATGAATATGTAACACTATTACGTTATTATAAAAGCTTTATCCGATTTTTTTTTTCTGTGTGATTCGTGTAGTTACTTAAAGTGACTTCTAGGCCAGCCTAGAGACGTGCTAATTAATGGGCCCTGGCGAGTAAGGGAACTGAGAAGTGAGAATACTGAGAATAGATCAGGCCTATACTGTACAACGTGAACTATTAACTTGGGCAATGGAAAAGCTTCTCAAGTGCCCTAGTGCTATGATGTGACTCAAAGCAGGTGCTCACGATTAGATTTACCTTACCTGCACTTGAAGCTTCTCACCGTTGCCGTGGAATTGTCCCCGGGAACAATGTGCCGCGGCAATTAACCAGTATATACATAGGCAATGCCATTGTACACTACAGTAGTTATCGCTTGCAAATAGTAGTGTAAATCAGCGTTCTGTTTTCGCGTTTTGGGTTGAAAGTTATAAGTACATATGGTTTTAATCACTTCAAGATAATCTTGTTACGAAATCCATATATTTCTGTTATTATAATGGCAGAATTTAAGAAACTAATGCTGACTTATCGCTTACGAAGACTTTATCAGGAATTTATATAAAATTTACCCTTTTAAGGAATTTTTTGTGATTGGCCATCTGGCTTCCTCCGTCGACATTAAGCAATAATCGCTTTTAATTCCACTTTTGGATTTTCCCTTAACCCATATACTCACTGTATTTGAGTTTTGCAGTGCCCTGCAATCGTTGGAGCGTTGCATTCGTTTTCATTTTCTCGCAGTCGGTTGCGAAAAAAGAAAACAAATAAAACCAGCAAATGAAAAGCTGTATTACTGTTGTACTGTTGGAATTATTGCGACGAGCCAGTCAGTCAGTCAGACAGTACGATATTTTAGTCGAATGAGTGGACCGGTTATCGCCAGCGATCCAAGTTCACAACGCCCCTACCAACAAAGGTTCGGGTTATCTGAGGCTGGGTTCTCCGGAACTGTCGTTGAACCTCCTGCGTCTGATTCATTCACAGTTGGAATCTCAAATGCGGATCACTCGATGATAACCAGCTCCAGGAGTCATCGGCACCGGTTTCGTTAGATACCCATTTGGGTTTGGGTTTGTCACAACATAACCAGCCAGGGATTGGGTGGTATACCATGCGACGGAATCAGACCGCTCTGACGTACAAAAGCGTGTATCTAGGATTTCGCAATTTCCGAAGGCCGTTGCTTATCGTCAACGGATTGTAAATAGTGTACTCGGGTCCGAGTGCCATATACTCCGGCTGAAGAATTTGTTATCACGGTGTCTGAAGTACCACAATAACCGACCAGCACAGTAAAAATCTGCTAGAATGGAATCAGGGAAAGCTATTAGACGATCGGGCAAATGTTTGTGATAAAAAGTCATAGAAATAAACCGTATGGAATTCATAAAATATCTTGACGTTTTATATTTTTATAATAAATTAGTTAGTAATCCCATATAAATATATCCATAATCCTTCTGGAGGTTGAAGCTTGTAGCTCCTTTAAGTATTTTAGTTCTAGTTTTGGGGAGGACTGTACCGAGCAGTCACGGTGACCACTTCAAATTGGGTTCAAGTAAATTTAGAACCACTCAAATGAGCCTTTCCAAGAACCAGAAATCCAGCAAAAGTAGTTGAGCTCCAGAAACACGAGCGAATGGTAAACATTTTATTGGTAGCTAGCCCTCGTAGTTTTATTATCACAGCCCAACCTCCCAAGTTTCTGGGTTCCCGAGTTCCTAGCCTGTTTCCTCCCTTCAATTAAACAGATATGGATAAATCGATATGGGGCGTGTGTGTGTGGTATTTATGTATGTGCCAGCCGCCCTTACTTTGGAAAATGCCCAGACTGCTGGACACGCCCGCGGGATTCGAAGCGACGGAAAATTTCGCTGGCATTTCTGCCACTCCGATCGGCGATTTTTCTTTAATTTTTCTGCTGGGCAGTAAGTCTCCATTCCAGCCATTCACCCATATCGAATGTGCGCCTCAACTTTCGACTCTGACACTTCCTTCCTTTTGTTCAGCTTCCTCGCACATATTCGCCACAGTGTATAAGGGGCGTTGATTGCAAATCCCCCGTTTATTTTATATATATAGAGATATGGTATATGTATTATGAATTACTTTGCTTATGCGGGGTTTACGAATGAAGTTTAATTGTATTTTTGTGCTTGTAGATTGCTTACTATATTGTCCAAATGATTAGATAACAAATATTGTATTTGAGCAAATATTTAATTACTTTTAATTTGAAATATGAATGCACTTTTATTGTACATTTTGTACTCTCCGTGCTCTGGTCAGTATATATGCATAATAATATTGATTATTGATTGATGATTAATGAGAAAGAGAGTTCTTATCATTAATTTGATTTCTAGCTCTTGCTGGCATGCACTCGAAAGTGTCACTCGAAGGTTTATTTAGTATAAACATTTCCTGGTTTCCCCGGGCTCGAGTAAGGTATTACTCAGTAGGTTGCTCATTTTTTCTTTTTTTAAATACTTCTAATCATATCACGCTTAGTCATTATGAAAAGAGCACACAGGCGGCAGCAAATGGAAACATTTGCAAGCACAATATCATTCGGATATTGATGGGCACACTCGTGCATACATTCGTTTATATGACGATTATAAATAAGTATGTAAGTTGCTCTGGTGATCAGATGTTATCTCAGTGCAAACCAAAAATATTCCTCTCATAATTTCGAGGGCAGCGCCATCATTCGGGATAATATGAATAAGAGAATTCATGAAGTGTACCAATTGTAATCAAATCGTTGGCCTTTGAACTCACTCAATTGCTCCACAATTTATACGGGCGGGCTTTCTGTAGGGGGAATATCTCAGTATGGACAAACAGAAGCTGGTTGGCTGGCTGGCGGTTATATGATCAATAGTTATGGGTCGTCAGGCACGGGATGCTAATGATTAACATGTTTTTAATGCGGTCACAATCACTCGGTTCTAATTCAATCAAATAACACAAAATGTGGCCGATGTGAAAGGTTAAAATAATTGAGTTAATCGCCTGGACGGCACTAATTAATTTTTAATGCCAGATTACAAGTCACAAAAGAGTGAGATACAAATTGTGTATAGCCTGAAATTGTAGTTAGCTAAATTCAACTGTAACAGTTGGGACTTGCTTATAGTATTTGCATGAAATGTTATTATAAACATAAATCCGAGAACGATGAAACCGATATCTAAACACACATCTCGTTTTCGTTTCGTTCGCAGAAATGTCTGACCAGGAAACAGAGCTGAGAGTCTCAAATGCAAGCAAGCGAACGCCAGCGGCAGCAACGAAGTCCAAGTTCACCAATAGCTGAAGAGGAAGCCCAGGAGACGCCACGCCGGAGTAGCACTCCCAGGAGCTGATAGAGGATTTGGAGCACAACTTATCGACGACTTGGGGTGTCTGGGTCAACTTCCGTTGCGCTCAGCAGAAATCGCTGAGTTTAAGGCACAAACAACTTACAAAATTATATAGTTAGTTCTGGCCGGCGAGCTTACTGACTGACTCATCATTCTGTTTTGAGTCGGACACGAACGAACAAACAAGGATCGGAGGCAGATAAGGATTACACTGAGACGCCGGAGCATAAGTTTACTTAAGGCAGGAGGACGATAGCCATTTAAGATACTTTCTGCACAACACAAACACAAAAACAACAAAAAACAAAACAGCACACAACCCGCAAAGCAAGATGAACTCTACCACAAAGCATCTGCTGCACTGCACACTGCTCATCACTGTGATAGTTACCTTCGAAGTATTCTCCGGCGGTATTAAGATTGACGAGAATTCGTTTACGCTCGTGGATCCATGGACTGAATACGGCCAATTTGCCACGGTTCTGCTGTACTTACTGCGCTTTCTCACGCTCCTGACGCTGCCCCAGGTGTTATTCAACTTTTGCGGCCTGGTATTTTACAATGCCTTCCCCGAGAAGGTTGTCCTTAAGGGCAGTCCCTTGCTGGCACCCTTCATATGCATCCGGGTGGTCACACGCGGCGATTTCGCGGATTTGGTCAAGACAAATGTTCTACGCAACATGAACACCTGTCTGGATACTGGATTGGAGAACTTTCTAATCGAAGTAGTTACGGACAAAGCGGTCAATCTGGCGCAACATCGCCGCATCCGGGAGATTGTAGTGCCAAAAGAGTACAAGACGAGAACCGGAGCGCTGTTTAAATCTCGGGCACTGCAGTATTGTCTGGAGGATAAGGTCAATGTGCTGAACGATAGCGACTGGATTGTCCATCTGGATGAGGAGACGCTGCTAACGGAGAATTCGGTCCGTGGAATCATCAATTTTGTGCTGGATGGCAAGCACCCATTCGGCCAGGGACTGATTACCTATGCCAACGAGAACGTGGTCAATTGGTTGACCACATTGGCCGACAGCTTTCGAGTCTCCGATGACATGGGCAAGCTGCGGCTGCAGTTCAAGCTCTTCCACAAGCCACTGTTCAGCTGGAAGGGCAGCTATGTGGTCACCCAGGTTGGTAATTCCATTAATATAGTGACTCGATTCTTGGGAAATTCTACTAATTACTCGAAAGGTCTTTTATCAAGTTTGACAGCTCCATAAGCCCCAAACGTAGCCCCAAACGTAAAGCGACCTAATTCTTGCACTTAACGAATGAATTAAAAATGTTTAGTATTTTATAGGGGCTATTTAACTAGAAAGTCATAAACTAAAAATTTGTTAGGTAATTCATTTTATTATTACATTATTAGCCAAGAAAATAAGGACCAAACTGATTGCCCAAAAATCGAGCCTAATTCCGACTCTCTTTATTTATAAAAGAACCTTGCTAATTATTTTCTTTTTTTGTAGGTGGGTGCAGAGCGTTCAGTGTCGTTTGACAACGGAATCGATGGCTCGGTGGCCGAGGACTGCTTCTTTGCGATGCGAGCTTTCAGCCAAGGATACACCTTCAACTTCATCGAGGGCGAAATGTACGAGAAGTCGCCGTTCACACTGCTGGACTTTTTGCAGCAGAGAAAGCGTTGGCTCCAGGGCATCCTCCTGGTGGTGCACTCCAAGATGATACCCTTCAAGCACAAGCTGCTACTGGGCATCAGTGTCTATTCGTGGGTCACCATGCCGTTGTCCACGTCGAACATCATCTTTGCGGCACTGTATCCCATTCCCTGTCCAAATCTGGTCGACTTTGTGTGCGCCTTCATAGCGGCTATTAATATCTATATGTACGTCTTTGGCGTAATCAAATCCTTTTCGCTATACCGCTTCGGATTGTTCCGATTTTTGGCCTGCGTGCTGGGGGCGGTATGCACGATACCAGTGAATGTGGTCATCGAGAATGTGGCCGTAATTTGGGGACTGGTAGGCAAAAAGCACAAGTTCTATGTGGTCCAGAAGGATGTTCGCGTACTGGAGACTGTTTAGGATATTGTCGAACTGGAGATGGGAGTCATTAAGTAGCCATAACCAAATGTAACAGAGCAAAAAGCAAACAAAAATTTCGCACAATATGGCCAGGATCAGTGTGTTGCCCTGTCACTATCAGATTGATTTACTTTATTTGTACATTTTCTAAGAATAAGAGTCACCCACACGAGCACACACATACACACACACACACCCGCACAACACACACACACACGCATATAGTTGTTGTTTCGTTCTAAAGTCATGATCATTCATAATATTGCCAAAAAAGAAAAAAAGGAAACAACTTGGAGAACAGAAGGTTATTTGACCCGAAAGAACAAATGTTATAGACAACGTCGTAATAGAAGATCTATAAACATACACCACTCACCAGCAACAATAACAATTGGGGGACTTGAAAGGATCCAAGAAAACCACAAACAAAAACTCTCCATTAAGTGTAATTTCATTATAAATATTTTTTTGTATAGTCTGTAGTGAAAGAATGCGCTATATTTATATAAACATAAATATTGTATGTATATTGTAGATTTATTATTATGTTTACGATTATTTAAAAACGTGTACATTGATGTATTGTAAATTGATAATCTGTTAAATATCATTCACACCCGAACCCAGGGATAAAAAGCGAAGCAAACTTGAATGTTTAGACTTATGTACTTACATGTGCAAATATTGATGTACTTTGTGTGTTGTTTGGCATGTACATATGACATATATGTATACGGCATGCTCTACAAGACATATATACACCCCCACATCCCGAGGATCCGGATCGACATTCTTCCCGTATGATTTCCTTCACCCCAAAAGATTCATGATGGTGTGAAGGATTTGATCTTGATAAATGTCCAAAGATCCTGGATCTCCTCGAGGCCCCGTCGAATTTCTATGTTCTTTGATTTTGTATTACTCTGTATTTACTCGTTTTGTTTATTTCTCTTCGTCATTCTGTTTAACTGTTATCGGTGCTTTGAAACCCACGCCCAAAACACACCCCCAGAAATATGGAACACGTGCATTGCAATCACCTCGTAAATCCCAAATAAGCGCGAAAAAGGATGTCGCACATACACTACACACTCACATACACACATTAAACTGTTATGAAAAAAGAACCAAAAACAAAAACAAGAATAAAATGTCAAAAATATAATAATGTCTTCCTTTTGTGGGCTTGGGGTTATTAACCAGATAAATAACAATACCAACTAGAAAGTTATGTTCATAAATTGGTTTATTCGATTTTGATAAAGTATCCTTGTTTAGAAAGAAATTCTTTAAATACATTCATATCATGCCTTTTCCTTCTATACCAAAATTCAATCTCCTTTCAATAGTAAAAGGAGTTAGATTGCAAAATAATATTTAGGTTCTTTCTAAGACAGTTAGGAGACAGTTACAATTTGGGCTACTATTTAATAGAAACTTAACAACTTCTGAAAAGGAAGTCTTCCTTATATGGAAATAAATATATATATATCTATCTCTCTCGCAACCATGCATTCGCGGAGAAGTACAGCCCTTCATCTCCTGAGGTGGCACAAATTTGAAAGGTGCCTTATTACACCTGCTAGGAATAACTATCTATCTATCTATCAAAGGGAATGACAATGTGTGAGACATGACTGGATTTTATAAATTTATCCGTGCTGGGTTCCAAAATCATTTCAGATCAACCAAAACTTAACTGATGCAGATTACTAGTTACTATATTTGTGCATTGTAAAACATGGAGGGGTAATACAGTCTTTGTTGAAGTGGGCTTCCTTACGAGCATTTCCTTACCGATAACATAAACATATAAAAACGAGACTAATATAGCTATTTTGAAACGTGCTGACGTCTACTAGGGGCTTCCTCTACCCTCCTCCTTTTCTGCTGTTGCATTTTCGGCTTCTTTTAGTTCACTTTCGCATCCGTGTTTAAATAACGCATCCGCATCCTTCCAGCATTAAAAGAATTTCCGCTTGGGCGTGGCAAATGCCAGTCCTGACATTCTGCAAAATGAAAGCCGAGACTTGAATTGGGCACGTATAAAATTAACGATTCTTGCCAACCTTGCCAACTTGGGTCCATTGAAATCCTCCACTCCGTTCAGAGCAGATCGCTTCGGTGAGGTCAACAGCTTGCCAGGCGTATCCGGTGTAGCGAATTTCACCGGGTTTTCTTTGGTGGTCTCCGCCTCATCGTCAGCATTATCGGACGTTTCATCGTGCTTAACTGGTTCCTCCTTAATGACCATGCCTGTCTGACCATCGCCCTCACCATTTTGTGGCGATTTAATATTTGTGGGATTGAAACATTTAGTCTTACAAACACAGCTCTCGGAGCATGCATTGTTGCCCACAAAGCATCCGCAGCGCTTGGTGTTGCACTTAGTCCGACACTTGCAACCCTTACCACGTTTTCCTTCCTCTGCCTGTGTAGAATTCAGCGATTGGATGGATGCATTACCGGCTGAAGTAGCATTGACATCCTGAGATTCTAATGGACTGGAAACCTCAGAAGGATTTCGGTGAGAGGCATTGCGTATAGATTCCGACTGGAGTCTCTGCAGAAAGTTCAAGAGAGAAACAGAAGTATGGGTAAAAAACATGGAGTTTACCATTTTTTGTTCTGTGAAACCCCGCCAAACTCACCTTGGATCTCGATTTCTGAGGCACCCAGTCGGGATCATCACTAATATCAGAGTTTTCATCGGTCAATGCTAGTACACTTTCATCATGATCTTCGAGCTCAACCTTTGCAACCTTAGCTTTCGACTTGGTCTGGGCTTTAAGTTTGTCCAGTTCTTGCTGCAGTGCTTCTCGACTACTGAGCAGTTCCTCAAGAATTTGCTGGCGGTGCTGCTCCTCCGTCGACGAAGGCTGATTTTCTGTTGATCTCTGGTTAGCTGTTCTGATTAAAACGGCAACCTTTTCCTCATAAGCACGCTGTTGCGCCATCATCTGCTCTTCATGTTCGGCTTGGAGCAAACGCAGGCGTTTGTTTGCAGCCTCTTCTTGTTGCTGGGACTCAAGAAGATGCGTGCGTTGCTCATCCAAAGCCGTTCTTTGTTCATTTAAGCTGGCAGCCTGTAGGCGCCTCTGCTGCACCAAAGTTTTTAAAAGCTGCTTACTAACAATCCGGGATTCACCAATGCTTTGGACACCTTCGGCCAAGGCCCGAATGCGACTATCCAGATCGGTGGGGCAGACCTTCTGCTGGAGATCGGCAATCTGGGCATTTCGCATTTCCAGCTCCTCCTCGAGATTGGCCAGCAAAAGGGCCTGCTCCTTTGCTTCCACAGGATCATTGGTTTTCTCCTGCTGCAGCAAATTATAGTGATTGTTGACCACCGCCCGGTCCTCCATCAGTTGCTCCAAGCTGTGCTCAGCATCGATCAGCGAGAGTATAATCTCAAGTTCTTGTTCCACAAAGCACACATTTGTCTTTGAGTTTGAATTGGAGGAGCCTCCGTGATCCTTGGCGTACTTTTGACGCTGGGCGTGCACTGAAGCTTGTCGATCGAGGGCATCCTTCAGCCGCTTATTGGCGGCCACAGCATCCTCACATTTACGTTTCAAAACCAATTGCTGCTTGGAATGCAGTAACTTCTGACGCGCAATCTCTGACTGCATTTTGCGATCCTTGCTCCTTAATTGAGTGAGTTCTTTTTCGCGTACCATCTTCCATTGACGGAACTTCTCCGTTTCACTACGCATGGCCCGCAAGAGCCTCACCTTTGTTTCCTTCATAACCTGGATTTCACCATTCAAATTCTTAATCTTCTCACTCTCCTTTTCGCGCATCTTCAGCATGCTAGCTTGGGTGACCAGCTTGCGGCGTAGTTCGGAGATCTCCTGCTCCAAAATCTGCAGGCGTTTGCGGCGCTCTTCTGCAATCTTCGCTGAAGTATCTTTGCTCTTGATGTTGCGCAACTGGTCCATAAGGCTTCGACGTTCCGCCTCCAGGTCATCGATTTTCTGGTTACACTGCCGCAATTTTAAATCGTCTTCGGGCTCCAGCTTGTTAAAGTTACTAGTGATGCGGTCGTGCAGCTCCTGTTTAAGTTCCAGCTGGCGCCTAATGTTACGTAGTTCTCCTACGTAATTTAGTTGCTTCTTGGTAAACTCCTCTGAATGGCTGTTCAGCATTTCATGGACTTCATCCCCACCACTTTGGCTGCCGTTTTCGTCCCTTTCGGAATGAGAGCGACCATTAAGCTGCTGGCGTGTCTCCTGAACCTGAGTTTCCAGTTCCTCGTGAGTGCGCTGCAACTCATTGTCCACCAGGTCCACCAGATGGGTGATTTCACTTAGCGAATTGTCACCACCTCCATCTTCAGTTGCCAAGCCCGCCTCTTTCCGCTGATCCAGTTTTTTTCTTAGTTGCAGCATATGAGAACGGAGTTTATCGTGGGCCTGCTCTGCGATGTGGGCACGCATTTCTTTTTCAGCTAGATCGGCTAGTGATTGTTGAAGCTCCTGATGCAGTGTTCTTTTGCTGTCTAGCAGACTGCGCACTTGTTCCTTAAGGCGTTGATTTTCCGCAGCAAGTTGACCAGCCTGTGACTCTTCACCGGTAATGGGAGCCAAACCGGCGGCTCCAACAGCGCTAGCAATAGAGTTGCTCATTTTGCCGCCTCCCAATAACTCCACGCGTAGCTTTTGGATAATGTCCTTTAGATGATTGACCTCCGCTGCATGTGGATCAAGATTGACCACTGGTTTGTTCTTGATTTGCAAAGCCCGATCCGCATAGCGTAGGGTGCTCAGGGTCTCAGCTACATTATAGTCAGCTGGACTGACGCAGGCAATCATCAAAGTAATCGAGTTTCCACCCAGGGAATCCTGCAATAGGCGCGTCAGCTTGGACTGCCGATAGGGGATATATCCAATGGCCTGGCCAGCTAAAATTGATAAACAATATTAGGATTTACCCGCCTTAACAGTTTGCGGGAGCAATTTAAAGAAAATCTCTTGATAGTTCAGTAGAAAAAAGGTGCGTAACCCCTTCCTAATACTTACATCCCAAGGCATTGATCACATTGCCCAGGGCCAAAAGGCCCTTGTTGATATTCACGCCTTCTTTAAATCGATCCCCGCTAGCCAGAGTCTTTGAACAACGTTCCGAGCCAGCCAGATCCACCAGATTAAATCTGGAAGTGGTGACCGTTTGTCTGTCAGGAATAAATACGATCGAATGATTAGATATCCTTATATAGAGATGCCCAAACATACTTGCCGTCCAGTTTCGTGGCTACCAGAGTCAATGTAAAGATGGCATGGGATCTCGAGGAGGTCTCATTCATGGCCGTGGCGGCCACAGCTCGTCCAGCGGAGCCACGCATTAGGTGATCAGTCACATCCTTGGCCGATTTGACCTCTAGTTCTGTAAGGCCCGGCATGACCACCTTGTTTTTGACCTCTCTGATATCCACAATGGCCTTTTCGCGCTTTTGCGACGAAAATAAGTCAAAAAATTGTTCTTGATACAACTCTACAAAGGAACAGGTTACCGAAAATCGGTACTCCTCCCGCATGTCTTGAATAGCCGAGAATATATCATCAACAGCTCGTGGTATCACACCAACATGATCATCAAGCACTCCATTGAACGCAGTGCCCATGGTGTAGGTCTTTCCAGAGCCAGTTTGGCCATATGCAAGGATAGTAACGTTATAACCATGCAGCAGCTTCTTCATTTTACCCTGGACGCAGGTTTCGAATATTTCCTTCTGGGTGTCCCCAATATCGAAGACATAGTTGTAAGTATATGACTCATTCCGGTTGACCGTAACCTGTGGTACTCCATCCGAGGAGCGTTCCACGGCAATACGACAGCCGCGATCCAACTCGGATTGGACCAAAGGGCGCACGCGCAAGGCCACGGCCACGGAACTGGGATCCTCGACGGACATCTAGGAAGCTAGTTGGGAAAACCATCTTATGACCTCCTCTGACACTATTTCCACCAACAACTTACCTTTTTCCAGAGCAGCTGTGAGTTAAAGAACAAAATAAGACCCGCAAACACTGGGCAATGGGATAACACTTGAAACTACGGCGGACCGTAGTCTTCTAGTAATTTTGGTTTGATCTAGATCTTGACCTTAAGGAAACGTGATTTTCCACCGGCAACCCGATACTCCAGGAATTTTCGATTTATGAGGTCCTATCCTAATCTAACGAAATGCGACGCCAGCAGACGAGTACATTGCTGCCAGTAATTTCAAAAATGGCGGAGTTATCGATATTTCCAAGCTGTCGATAAGAGTAAGAATCGCTTTTTTCTAGCTACTTATTCAAGAGCTTGATAGTACTTTGATCAAGGGAAAAACTAAATCAAATTTTTATATATTGAAAGGATTATCAAAGTTAAAAAGTCAACATGAAATGTTTAAAAGTATTATGATCACAATGATATTATTTTTGGTAAAATCGTCGTTATATATTTCGCATAAATATGTTAGGAGCGTGAAGGTAAATTTTTTTTTGTTTTTGACAAGCTTTAGCAGCATCCAGAAAGTTTGAAAAAGAGATGTTCCTCCTTTTTGATTGATTTGCATTTATTTTAAAAGACATAATGTGACTCTTCCAGCTAACTTCCACGATAACCGCATATTGAAGCATTGTTATCGGATTTTTGAACGCTGCCAGTCACTAGCGAACAATCGCCACAAAACAAATTGTAATTTCTTCGGCTTTCGTATCAATTGGCAAAGGGATAACGTAGCGGGATATGGAGGAAGTGGCGCCGCATTTTAAGGTGCTGGAAGAGGTGTTCCACGGCAATGGTAATGGATGCGCCAGCGTGGATGCCACTCAATCAGCCATTTTAAAAGTGCTGACGCGCGTGAATCGCTTCCAGGTGCGCGTCCGCAAGCATATCGACGACAACTACACGGAGTTCATGCCCAACCATACCTCGCCGGACATTTTCCTGGAAGAGTCGGCATCCCTAAATCGTGAGATCCATGATCTTCTAGAAACCGTGGGCGCTGAAGGACTGGGCGCCTTGAATGAGGCGAATGCCAAGTTGGCGGATAGCGGTAGGCAGCTGAGGGAGATCCTTTTAGGCCTCGGAGTCAGCGAACACGTCCTCAAGATCGATGAGCTGTTTCAGTGCGTGGAGGAGGCGAAAGCCATCAAGGATTACCTGGTTATTCTAGATCTCGTAGGTCGTTTAAGGGCTTTCATCTACGACGATGATGCCGGCGAAGAGAACGCGTCGCAGGTGGCCACTCCCGAGATTCGACGTGTCTTTCAAGCTCTCGATTGTTACGAAACCATTAAGGTGAAGTACCATGTTCAAGCGCATCTATTGCAGCAGAGCCTTCAAGAGCGCTTCGATCGGTTGGTTCAACTTCAGTGCAAATCCTTTCCCACATCGCGTTGCGTCACATTGCAAGTGAGTCGGGATCAGGCCCAACTACAGGACATCGTACAGGCCCTCTTTCAGGAGCCCTACAATCCTGTGCGTCTCTGCGAATTCTTGTTGGACAACTGCATCGAACCACTAACCCTTAGACCAGTGATGGCGGAGTATAACGAAGATGCCGACGGTGGTACGTATATAAGACTGTCGCTATCTTACGCCACCAAGGAGCCCAGCTCTGCGCAGCTTCGTCCGAATTACAAGCAAGTTTTGGAGAACTTCCGGCTGCTCCTGCAAACGCTGGCTGGAATTAACTGCAGTGTTTCCAGCGAGCAGCACGTATTCAGCATAATAGGCGATCATGTGAAGGACAAGATGCTGCAGTTGCTGGTGGATGAGTGTCTGATACCAGCTGTACCCGAAACCATGGAGGAGTATCAGTCCTCAACGTTATGCGAGGACGTCACACAGTTTGAGCAGCTGCTAGCAGACTCATTTATCATTAATCCAGACCATGATCGGGCATTGGGGCAGTTTGTCGAGCAGTACGAAACCTATTATCGCAATCGGCTGTTTAGTCGGGTTCTGGATACGGCACGCGAGATCATCCAGCGGGATTTGCAAGACATGGTGCTGATTGCGCCTAACAATCTAACCACCGAAGTGGCCAACGACCCCTTCCTCTTTCCACGATGCATGGTCTCCAAAAGTGCGCAGGTAAATCAGGCTCCTAGCTAAATAATATATTCAGTTCACCAATCTCAACATTTTTTCCCGCAGGACTTTGTCAAACTGATGGACCGTATCTTGCGCCAACCCACGGAAAAAATGGGTGAAGACCAAACAGATCCTCTAGCCGGCGTCATTGCCATCATGTTGCATACCTATATCGATGAAGTGCCCAAAGTGCACCGTAAGCTACTCGACAGCATTCCCCAGCAGGCGGTACTATTCCACAACAACTGCATGTACCTTACCCACTGGGTAGCTCAGCATGCCAACAAGGGTATCGAAAGTTTGGCGGCGCTAGCCAAGACCCTGCAGGCCACAGGTCAGCAGCATTTCCGGGTGCAGGTTAACTACCAGTCCTCTATTTTAATGGAGATTATGCAAGGCTTCGAGTTCGAAAGTCCGCACACGATGGGCTCCGGTCCATTGAAGCTGGTGCGCCAGTGTCTTCGTCAGCTAGAGCTGCTGAAAAACGTGTGGGCCAATGTGCTTCCAGAGACGGTGTATAATGTCACGTTCTGCGAGCTGATCAACACTTTTGTCGCCGAGCTAATCCGTCGCGTTTTTACGTTGCGCGACATTTCTGCCACGATGGCTTGCGAGCTGAGCGACCTCATCGACGTGGTCCTGCAGCGGGCGCCCACGCTCTTCCGTGAGCCAAACGAAGTAGTCAAAGTCCTATCCTGGTTGAAACTGCAGCAATTGAAAACCATGATGAACGCCTCGCTCAAGGAGATCACAGAGCTGTGGTGCGACGGTGCCGGACCACTGACGGCTACTTACAAGTCAGACGAGGTAAGGCATCTAATCCGGGCCCTCTTTCAGGACACGGATCGCCGCGCAAAGGCCATAACGCAAATTGTATAGGCTACACACTAGGGAAGATGGATTTTTCCCGAAGCAGGGGAGTTAAATTGTGAAATTTCTTTCTTTTGGATAAAAGCACAGTTTAAAATGATAAAATACCTTGGAGATTGCCTTCATGACTCCTTATTAAAACCCCTCAAGAGTTCACTTTAAATGCTAAACGAAATATATTATGATAGTCTTGATTGATTGTAAATAACAAATTATACTTTAGATTGCCTTCCGGTTTAGAAGACTTATTTTAGCAACAAAATGCGATCCATTTTTCCAGCAACAAAAATAGTCTCTATTCTAAGCTTTATTTAAATAAAACCACAAGATCCCATTATTGTGCCTCATGTCGAGCTTGGAGAAGGAGAAGGTAAAGCTGCTCATTGAGTAGCCTATGATCCCTGCCATGGGTTACGGTTAGAATGCGCTGGGCCTCCTCCAAGTGGTGCAGTGCCTCCTTGGCATGGCCCTCGTATAACTGAATCTTACCAAGCTTCATGTGAAGCAGGCCAAGCAGCGGATTCCAGGCTCCGTGGTATTTTCGAAAGCCTGGCAAAAGGCGTTGGCCGTAATCCAGGGCGTCGGCCCACTTGCCCACTTCGATGGCTGCTTCAAATGCTGAGTCTAGGGTCTTCACATACCACACGTTCAAGGGATGGAACACGCCAGTCTGCTTATCCAGGCACACCTTGCACACATCGAGATCTGAAGGATAAAAAGATGGTATATTAATTTGTAGACGGATATCTGTCTTATCAACTAACAGGCCACGTCTTTCATATTTTCCAAATTGTGCCGAGTCAGGGCCATCGCCTCGTTAAAGGCATTTCTTAACTTGGGACTGATCCCTGCGTCGCATCGCGGACAGTTGGTACGCTCGACATTGACGCCCACTCCACAATTCCGATTTGGACACAGGGCAGCCAGCATTTCCTTTGATTCCTTGGCATCCGTGCACTTGCTGCACACGCAAAGAAAATAGTAGTGCTCCTTCAAGTCCAGACGTCTCTGTTCCGGTGTATTAAGAAGATCAATGTAGCTAATGAAGATCTTTGACCAGTCAAGGCACTCCATATCCTCAATAGCATGGACATGGAGCTCGTTCCCCTCGAAGGTGGCCACCGCATTTGGTTGGCAACTGTGGTCCGTAATCGAGACGCCCAAATATATGGCCGTGGCAATCGAGTTCATCTCGGCGTCTAAGATATTGAAGCCATTGGTGATGAGCTGCAAGAGCAGAGGAAAAACAGCATGAGCACCCGCGTATCTATTCGCTGGGGAATGTGAACCATAGCCCTTCCTAGATGATCAATTGCCTGGCAAGGCGCCAGGCAAACAGCATTGATTGCTATCTAATTTGGGCGACCAGGAGCGTAAGCAGCCACTGAAATCTTGTAATGAGCTTATATTTTAAGATTTTCTAAGGTTCATAGGTAAGAGTACGATGTATATGTATGTGCACTACTTCTCCTAAGTCAAGAAATATTTTTCGTTTACTAAAAATATCTTTCAATCAAAGAGACTTGATAGAATTGGACAGAATCTGTCACCCACAATCCGCTCCTGCTTTTTCGCGCAGGTGCCTACCCACTTACACGACCGTAGATGCTCATCAGTTCCGTCTTGTTTGGCACAGTGCTAGGACTCTCTGCCATCATATCGGTGAGGACGGCGTGCAACGAGTCCAAGTGCTCCAGTCGCATGGGATCGTTCTTAATTTCGGCGTAGTCTGCAGAATATTATCAGCTATTAGCATGGATTTGATAGGGCATCAGATGGCTGACCTACGGGACATAAGGTCGCGGAACTTTCGGGAGCCGTGTTCGGTATAATAGCCCCGGATAAGATCTCCTCCGTGTTCTAAACGAAGAATTAAACGACACAGCATCCTGGCAGCATCTGGCACAATTCTGGGGTGTACCTTTTTCAGGAATGGACATTCGTGCTTGTGCTGGGCCCAAGCTTGCATCTGACAGGAGCGATGACAGTAGGACACATATCGGCAGTTTGAGCACTTCAGCACCTTGGTTCTGCAAAGAGGAATTACCGATTAGCGACCCGGGAAACGGAAACCAATTGCCAGACTCACGCCTCCAGGCAGTTATCGCAGCGCTCCAAGCGATACTGGGACTTTAAAACAAATGCAAACGGCTTCTCCGTGAGAATCCGCTGGCCCCTTTTTATCTGCGGTGCCGGGTTCTTTCTGGTTTTGGATTTGGGTGAGGATGCCGATTTAGATGAACTGGCTGTGCTGAACTTCTCCATTTCACCGGAACGGAACTATGTACACCTTCGACTTTCGCCTGGGGGCCCGTCTCACTGACGACTGAAAATGAGCGCACACCTGAAGATCAAAAATATTGTTTCGAATGCTTTTTGAATATTTTGCGGCATCTGATTTCTATTTTTAGCCAGAAAAACAAACACAATTTACGCAAATCGGTGGCAAACACAAAAAAACAACAACATAAGGTAGTTTTGTTTTTCGCATGCACACGATGGCGTTGCCAGACCGTCGGGGTTAGGGGACTTGCTACTGTGGACTCTAAATATAAAAAACCAGCGATATAAACAAACGACAGTTTAAACCAAATTTTTATTATAATATACGTATTTTTATTTTATTCATATTAAGATTTCATTAATTAAATCTACTTAATTCAATCATATTAAATCAATGCTGAATTTTTGTTATTCCGAGCTGACTTTATATTGAAAATATTAATAAAAAATATAGCTCGTTATAACGAATAAAGGATTTGGTATTATATGTAACTTTAAAATGAGGGAGACAGCTGTACTAGTTGTTTTGAATTTCTCAGTAGTCTTAGTGTCGCATGAAAGTTAAGTCATTCGATTTCTTTAAAGACCAAGTAAAAGTAATTTTCGGTTAATAAGCAATTTTGAATACCAAATCCCTTCATCTTCCTTATCTAATTGCAATATGTTCGTTTTCGGTGCCCCTGGAGGCAGTTTTTAAGATTTATTTGTAGCAAACTTATATAGCATAGGGACATAATTGTGTGATTGATCCTTACGAACTTGTATAAGCAATAAACGCGGGTATTGGGGACGTGACTAACTAATTGTTCTGCGGCTTGGACCATTCCACACTTAGGATAAGATGGTCGTAGCCGTGACCGTTGAGGATTTCGATTGCAGCAGCCGCATCCTTTCGCTGCTTGAAATGCACGTAGGCGAATCCCTTGCAGAGTCCGGTGTTCTTGTCGCGGGCCAAATACATCTTGCTCTGAGGTCCGATCTTCTTCACCAGTTCCTCGAGATCGGCCTCGGTCATCGACTCCGACAGATTGGAAATCCTGATGGCAGCCGTATCATCGCGTCCTCGCATTCCCAATCCACCCTTTTGGCTGTCCTTCAGGAACGGTGGCACATACTTTCCGGACTTAGGGGCATCCACGGCAGCTGCTGCGGCGGCCGAGGCCTTCTTTTCCATCAGATTGGTGTCCATCGCAGTACCCTTGTACGGACAATTGACAGACCAATGCTCACCGTTGCAAATACGGCACTTGGCGATGTTCTTGGTGGGATCCAGCAGCGGATCGTTGGCCTTTTCGTCCTCCTTGGAGTTAAGGAACTGCATGATGATCTCCTCGGACACCATGGTCGTCTGGGAGTTGGGGCCCGGCTTGTCGTTTTTCGACTCCCCGAACTTTGTCCAGGTGCGACGCTTAGCCACTGTTTTGGGCACCACCTGCTTGGAGATCTTGTATGTGCGCACCACCTTGGTCTTCTTGTCGTCCTTGTTGTACTTGTACTCGGTGACGTACTTGTGGCCATTCTCTACCGTTTCTGTGGTCGGAGGCAGGCCGCCGTAATCGAGCTCCACCTCATCCGCCCAAGAGGATTTAATCGTTTCAACGCCCGGCATCTGGAAAAGTTCATATACCAAGTAAGTGACGGTGAACTGGGGGACTGCTTTCGATGTACTCACTTTGTTTTGCAATGCGAATTGTTAGCAAAATGAGAAATGCAAATTTCGCCACGAGTTAAGCGGATTGAAATCAGCAACACGAAAAGAGCTAGAAATGCAGTGTGACCGCGGAAAAGTCAAAAATATATACTGGCCACCTAAAAAATACTATTTAAATTTGTAATAAACGCTTATTAATAGTGTTTCTTGATGATTATGCTCCAATAAAATAAATTAACTTTTTACAAACAAAATTTGCAAAATTTAAAAAAAAAAATATAGAAAATATAACGATAACATTGAACATTTACTTACAAATCTAAAAATAAGACAAAAGTATCGACTATTCTTTTGGAAATATCGATGCTTACCACCCTTAGTTTATCGTTCCCGAATTACAAATGAATATTTAATTGCTTTTATGAATAACAAAAAGAAAACTGGCGATACTAAGGCCGTCAGAAACAATTGTTGGAAATTTATTTTAACTAAGACAAACCTTATACAAATAAATAATAAAGTGTACTTTAACAGATTAAATGGATAGTTTGAGTCTCGACTACACTGTCTAAGTTCCAATATTAAGGCTGTATCCGTATTGAGTGGTGTTTCGGTATATCCACTTTGACTACATTTGGCCAGTCTAATTTTCTCTTCTTCTTGCCGTTGCTTCCGCTTTCTGTTCTTTTTCCTCGTGGTTTTTCGACTGACAAGATGGCTCCAACCGTAAGTGTTCTGATACTTGAGTCTGGTCACCGATCCCTGGCCAACGGGTTATCCAAGTTGTGTAATGTGGAGGCGCTGGCCAGTGGGGCGGTATCCAGAAGTGAAATAATCTAAAAAGCGAATGTGTGTGTGATATTTTCTGTTTTTTTTTTTCGGTGGGCCACCAGGCCAAGACCAACAAGGGTGATACTAAGGCCGCCGCTGCCAAGCCGGCTGAAAAGAAGGCCGCTCCTGCAGCCGCCGCCAAGGGCAAAGTGGAGAAGCCAAAGGCTGAGGCCGCCAAGCCCGCCGCCGCCGCTGCCAAGAACGTGAAGAAGGCACCTGAGGCTGCCAAGGATGTGAAGGCAGCCGCCGCCGCTGCCAAGCCCGCCGCAGCCAAGCCAGCTGCTGCCAAGCCCGCTGCCAAGGATGCCGCAAAGAAGGCTCCGGCCGCCGCTGCTCCCAAGAAGGATGCCAAGGCTGCTGCTCCCGCTGCCGCCAAGGCTGCTCCAGCCAAGAAGGCTGCTTCCACCCCGGCTGCCGCTCCTCCGGCTAAGAAGGCTGCTCCCGCTAAGGCTGTTGCCGCTGCTCCGGCTGCTGCTGCCGCTCCTGCTGCAGCTGCCCCTGCCGTAGCCAAGCCAGCTCCTAAGCCCAAGGCCAAGGCTGCCGCCCCTGCTCCCAGCAAGGTGGTCAAGAAGAACGTGCTCCGCGGTAAGGGCCAGAAGAAGAAGAAGGTCTCTCTGCGCTTCACCATCGACTGCACCAACATTGCTGAGGACAGCATCATGGACGTAGCCGACTTCGTAAGTCCCTAAAGAATCTATTATCTCACTCGCTTAATATCAAATAACGGAATATTTTTGGTACTTGCTTTTACGGTATTATGAGGGACTCAGAATGTGTTGCAATCTTCAAAATTTCAGTCTTCAAAGTTGCTATAATGATTTCTTTAATAATTACATCTATTCCAGTTTCTTATAAAAGAAACATTGGGAACTTATGAATATTTACATAAAATTGGCACTACTCATGACAAAATTGCAGTTTAAGCAGCTCTATAACCTAAAAAACAATGGCAACCAATTCATTTATAGCTTTCCCAACACTAGAAAAGTTCCCTCTAAAGACCTGAAAGCAATACAGCCGTAAAATAACCTAAAAATCAGTATCAGTATCAGTATCAGTTTACCACACCAAGCTTTTCATTGCCCTCCAAATTAAACAGGGGCTTTGGATAAAAAGTTGTGGTTAAAGTGAAGTCTCTCCATTTGACAATTTGCCGCCAGCGGACTTTAACCGTGCCACAGGCGGTTAACAACTTATGGAACAGCATTAACTGTAGATTTTGAATAGCCTTAAGTTTGTTTACGTCCGAACCAAATTGAATCGAATCCTTCGCTGCCTCTCATCTGGGCACACGTGTTCCGCAGCGCCTCCCAATCGCGCTAGTTGTCAAGGGGCTCTGGGCACTGCACAACGGGGTAGCCACTGACCGCCAGTGACCTGGCACTGGCCAGTGGTGCAACCGTCTGTGAACAGCGTCAAGCCGTGCTATGTGTACCGCCACGTGGTGGGCCCTGGGTTGAGTGCGTTCACAACCGTGGCGCCTCAGGCCGAAATTCATAGTGCGCCCTGCTTATGGTGTCCGCTCTTGTGGCACTGCAGGTTTTCCCAACTAGTAGCAGTTAGCAGCAATAGGTGCTTCTTTCGTCTAACGTTTTGAAAAATCAACCAAATTAACCTAACCCACTAGTGGGCAAACCGAGGTGCGCTAAACGCGCGTTTTAGCAGGGCGCTAAATCGTTTGAAGAGTCGCCCCCTCCACAGGATCAGGTAACTACAATCTTTAGCTGCATTTACAAACAGGGAATGAACCATCAGGTTAGGTGTTGTCAGTGCTTTGGCTTTTAACTAGTACCGAACCTAGTGGTTCCATCCCCATCATTGCTCATTCAGTACACGGATAAATATACAAATTACAGGCCACGCCGATTTGCCGTCAGAGAGTGAGCTTTATGCGTCGCTCTGATGGCAGTGTACTCAGTGGCAAATCAAAAAATTGGTCACTCTTCTTTATTTGGGCCTTCTGTTCTTCACAATCGACTCTTGGCCTTAACAAAGACAGAGACATTAACTCGACTAACTGCCGACAGGAGCTGATCCTTGAAAATCCCACCCAAATCCAAGCAGAACTAACCCGTGAATCCCTATTCCTTTTCTGTCCGCAGGAGAAGTACGTGAAGGCTCGCCTTAAGGTCAATGGCAAGGTCAACAACCTGGGCAACAACGTCACCTTCGAGCGCTCCAAGCTGAAGCTCCATGTCAGCTCTGACGTGCACTTCTCCAAGGCCTACCTTAAGTACTTGACCAAGAAGTACTTGAAGAAGAACAGTCTTCGTGATTGGATCCGTGTGGTGGCCAACGAGAAGGACTCGTACGAGCTGCGTTACTTCAGGATCAGCTCCAACGACGACGAGGACGACGATGCCGAGTAAAGTGTAGCAGCAAAAACCCTACGTTTACATTCGTTTTTATTATATATCTTATGTCCTTGAATGGGCGTGGTTTTATAATCTAACAATAAGGTGTGAACTGAAGGAAAAAATCCCTTTGGGTTCACAGCAATAAAAGATTTGTATGTGAGCCTCGAGATTGATATGGTTTTTATTGTAGTTGTATAAATCTGCCTTAAATCGATTGGAAAATATTCCTCGAGAAATCTCGAGTTATTCTCAAAATCATTTGCTAGCTCTTGGTAGATCTGTTTGTTAGTAAGGTATTCACTAGTCGCCATTGGGTTCCTTATACTAGCTAAAAAAGCTTAGTGATTTGGTACCTCTGTCTCGCTTTATTCCGTGATGGTTTTTTTTTGCTTCTGACGGTGAAAGTTGCTTATGATGCCCTCAGAGAGGGTAACATGAATTGCACAAAGCGTTTCTCTATTCGTTAGGATAGTGTAAGATAGTGTGACTTACCTAGTTCAGTTCGAATACGAAAGGTTAATATAATTTTTAATTGATTGCAATGTGTAGAAACTGGTTTAGGTTGTTAAGTGGAAATGCATAGCGTGTTTTCCGTGACCTAAGCTATTGTTTCATGAGCTCTATTAAATATCAGAATATTCCAGATGAGCTGGCTCGTATATGGGAATACATATTAAGGTTGCCTTTTTTGTTTTTTTTTCATCTTAAATATTTGCTGTCTTGCCTCGTCAACCGTTTTGTTTACCCACTCAGGGGGCGAAACAAAGTACGCCTTTTTTGTCGTTACGAAAACAGACGTACCAAAATAGTCCGGACAACCGCCGTGGCTCATCATTGGGCCAGCGGACCATTAACTATTCAGCTCCCTATTTATATAGGTGTTTGCATGAGTGGGTAATGTGCACCGTGAGCACCGGCATCGCCAAATAAAACCACTACGTGTAGGGTGTTACGCGTGTGGGCGAAAGCTTTTATTTTATTCAACAATTGAGGAGTGCAACTAATACGTTTGCTTACAACAATACAAAAAACAAGCAACAATTACGCTAACAATTCTAGAAAAATATACACTTTTAGTGAGAACTTACATTCTTTTTTTTTGTCTTTCTTCAGGGGCTTTTGAGTAAGGGTTACGTTCCATATAGTAGATAGTGTAATACATATATATTCTGAGATATTCGAATGTTTGCTTTTTTGTTTACGAGCACACTGGGATGGTCTGGGTCCGGTTACGGGTGTCCATTCCCATCGCAATCATCACAATTGAAGGCCGAGTTGGAAAAGGGGGATTTTAGAAGGGGAGAATTCTAAACAGGGAACCCAGCTTGTTTATCTGTGAATACTGTAATCGGAGATGGTACGGCATAAATTAACAATTTTCGTCCAATTAGCGCCAGAATTATCGATCTTGGCCAGCGCGCAAATAAACCATGCGCGCCAAGGCCACAAAAGCTGGGGAGGAAAGTACAGTAGGTAGGGTAATTGAGTGAGCAAGTGCACACAATGCAGCTTGGAACGTTCCAGAAGCGTTCTATTTAGTAGCCAGCAAAGCGCTTAGCCAGTACTCCGCACATGATTACGATGAGCAAACTCTCACTGGTCAATCCTTGCAAGGAGCGAGCTCCACTGGTGTTAGACTTAACGGATGCCTGAAGTGGAGCCGCTACATCCTGAGCTTGTTGCACCTGTTGAGATCCTGGCTGAGCTGGGGCCATGGGTGCCAATGGAGCCGGTCCCTCGCCAGCCGGAGCAGCTGGTGGCGGGGGTGCCGGGTAGCAGGCTATCTTTTCCACCTCTACCATCTTGGTACTGTCCGCTGGGTCCGTTTCATTCACTTTGGTTGGCACACAAATGATCCCACCAGCTGGTGGAGGAGCAGCTGCATCTGGTGCGGTCATGTTGGAGGCCTCTGGATTAAAGGGTGCCATTGGTGCCATGGGTACAGCTGGCTGTTGGGCATCTTGGGTGACGTTGGAAGGAGGCATGGCTGCTGCTGGAACTGCTCCTGGGGCAGCAGCCACTCCGGCTGCGTTAATCACAGTGGTGCCATCGCTGGCATTCACCGGCACACCATTGTTGATAATAATGATACGATCCTGTCCAGCAGCTGGAGCTGCGGCAACTGGCTGCGATGAGGAACTTCCTCCCGAGGGTGTTAGAGCGTGCCCCAGCAGAGCACCTCCCAAGCCACCTGCGAGCAGTCCAGTGCCTGTGAAAAATTAAACATTAAAGCGCAGAAACAGATGTGGGGCTTAAAATAACACCAAACTTGGCATCGAATTGTGTTAATATTTAAAGCTAATATGAGTCAGCAAATTGAGATGAGCCATCTAACCCATTATATGTGGTAAATGGTAACAGATTCCAAACTATAACTTACCGAAACCAAGGCCAGAGGAGGATTGCTGCGGCGGTGAAGAGTAATAGGTAGCTCCGGGCGGTAAAGCCGATCCCGCCTGGTAGTAGGTGGCTCCCGGAGGTGGAGCAGCAGCTGGGTGATAGCCACCGCCCATAGGTAAATGACCAGCGGATGGGTAGTACGTAGCCCCAGCGGGGATATTGGAAGGATAGCCACCGCTGTGCCCTCCAGCCGGGTAGTAGGTAGCTCCTGCTGGAACTCCTGAGTACTGCGGCTGATGCATATTTGATCCAGTGGCAGCTCCATAGCTGGGAGGAGCTGCTCCGTAGTTGGGGGCATGATAGGCTGGCGGCGGTTCGTGCATATTCGGTCGGGCTCCGCCAACGGGATTGGATGCGGAATAGGCGGGCGGAGGGCCTTGCGGTACATTCCAGCCTGGTTGGGGGGCAGATCCTTGAGACCCTGGAGATCCAGCGGTTATAGGACGATTCGGCTGCGAGTTGTAGTTAGGGTAACTCAGTTTGGCTACATCCGCATGAGAGTTTCCAGCGGCATGACCGTTCGTGTTATAGCTAGGCTGCGTCACGTGACCGTAGTTGGAGGAGCTAGATGATGAGGAGGAGGAGGAGGTCTTTCGCTGGTTGCTGCCCTGGTTACGCCGTGCATCCACAACATCGCTGCCGTGCGTCACCAGCAAGGCAAACACTGCCCAGGCCACAAAGACGACATGGGAGCTCGCACCACCACTGGAGGCCATCATGTGATCCGGATTAGTGTTTCACCCGGAGAAGAGAGACGACTGTAGAAATAATAAAAAACGGAAACAGTCAAGCGTAAATCATCAGCCACTGATGTGCATGCTAATTACAAAAACCCGTTTTTGATGCTTCTACTCGTTTTTGCTGATGCGCTCTGCGTCGTTTGTCCGCGAAACAGTTTTACTTGTCGGTTTTATTCGTTAAAAATCGTTTAATTTCACTTATAGCAGTGTGGCCAGGCGAGGATTGTTGAGATATGTAGCCGTATGTCGGTAAAATAAGGTATGCGGCCACCTTTTTGTCGGAAGTTGGTGCAAGAAAATTTAAATATTTATTAATTTGCAATATTTTAGGCTAGTAGTTCAATAGACTATTATTTATCCAAATAGGGAATGCCATAAATTATTAAATGTAATACCTCGTTAAGCTTGTTTTCTAATTCGTATCAAATCTGCTTTCACAGTTAAAAAAGTCAAATTTGGGCCATTTTTGGAAAATTTGGATAATAGCGTCTTGCTGCGACCGTGATAGAACTAAGAACCCGCAAATAATCTTGCAAACTTCTGTGAAAAACAGGTTTTTGACTTTTTCAAATTTCTGTTAAAATAGGTTTTTGTATTTTTCAGCCATTAAATCAGCATTCGCACCAAAAAATCAGAACTATATTTATAAATGCAAGTATAGAGGCTTAAAGTTTTGGTTGTTAGCTGCATAAAACAGTCATTGCTGCGGCCATGCGGCTTGTTTTGACAAAGTTAGAGCTAAGAAACGGCAACCAAACCGGGATATCTGCTGTCAAACGACGTATACTTAATTTGTGGCTCATTAAAATCAGTTTTTAAGCCATATTACAGCCAAAAATCGTCCAAATGAAGAATGTAATACCTCGTAGGGCTCGTAATTTGATTGCCATGATTCCCAATTGGTTTGCATTCAAATCTGGAAAACTTCATTTTTGGGCATTTTTTGAAAATTTTGATGATGGTACCCGTTATCAAAAATGCGAAATTTGGGCCAAAATTGATTTTCCCAAAATCGAAAATCGAGTGATAGGGGTGGTTAGTATTGGTCGTTAGCAGCACAAAACAGTCGTTCTTTTGGCTGTGCGACTTGTTTTGCCCGAGCTAGAGCTAAAATACCGAAAATAATGTTGCAAATTTCTGTTAAAAATCGGTTTACTGCCCTTAAAACAGAGCTCGCACCAAAAAATCAGAACTATATTTATAAAAGCAAGTATAGGGGTTTAAAGTTTTGGTTGTTAGCTGTATAAAACAGTCATTGCTGCGGCCATGCGGCTTGCTTTGACAAAGTTAGAGCTAAGAAACGGCAACCAAACCGGGATATCTGCTGTCAAACGACGTATACTTAATTTGTGGCTCATTAAAATCAGTTTTTAAGCCATATTACAGCCAAAAATCGTCCAAATGAAGAATGTAATACCTCGTAGGGCTCGTAATTTGATTGCCATGATTCCCAATTGATTTGCATTCAAATCTGGAAAACTTCATTTTTGGCCCATTTTTGAAAATTTTGATGATGGTACCCCTTATCAAAAATGCGAAATTTGGGCCAAAATTGACTTTCACAAAATCGAAAAACGAGTAATAGGGGTTGTTAGTATTGGTCGTTAGCAGCACAAAACAGTCGTTCTTTTGGCTGTGCGTCTTGTTTTGGCCGAGATAGAGCTAAAATACCGAAAATAATGTTGCAAATTTCTGTTAAAAATCGGTTTACTGCCCTTAAAACAGAGCTCGCACCAAAAAATCAGAACTATATTTATAAAAGCAAGTATAGGGCTTAAAGTTTTGGTTGTTAGCTGCAAAAAACAGTCATTGCTGCGGCCATGCGGCTTGATTTGACAAAGTTAGAGCTAAGAAACGGCAACCAAACCGGGATATCTGCTGTCAAACGACGTATACTTAATTTGTGGCTCATTAAAATCAGTTTTTAAGCCATATTACAGCCAAAAATCGTCCAAATGAAGAATGTAATACCTCGCAGGGCTCGTAATTTGATTGCTTTGATTCCCAATTGATTTGCATTCAAATCTGGAAAACTTCATTTTTGGGCATTTTTTGAAAATTTTGATGATGGTACCCCTTATCAAAAATGCGAAATTTGGGCCAAAATTGACTTTCACAAAATCGAAAAACGAGTGATAGGGGTTGTTAGTATTGGTCGTTAGCAGCACAAAACAGTCGTTCTTTTGGCTGTGCGTCTTGTTTTGGCCGAGCTAGAGCTAAAAAAACCGAGCATAGTATTGCAGATTTCTGTTAAAAATCGGTTTCCTGATTTTTTTGCCCTTAAAACAGAGCTCGCACCAAAAAATCAGAACTATATTTATAAAAGCAAGTATAGGGGCTTAAAGTTTTGGTTGTTAGCTGCATAAAAACAGTCATTGCTGCGGCCATGCGGCTTGTTTTGACAAAGTTAGAGCTAAGAAACGGCAACCAAACCGGGATATCTGCTGTCAAACGACGTATACTTAATTTGTGGCTCATTAAAATCAGTTTTTAAGCCATATTACAGCCAAAAATCGTCCAAATGAAGAATGTAATACCTCGCAGGGCTCGTAATTTGATTGCTTTGATTCCCAATTGATTTGCATTCAAATCTGGAAAACTTCATTTTTGGGCATTTTTTGAAAATTTTGATGATGGTACCCCTTATCAAAAATGCGAAATTTGGGCCAAAATTGACTTTCACAAAATCGAAAAACGAGTGATAGGGGTTGTTAGTATTGGTCGTTAGCAGCACAAAACAGTCGTTCTTTTGGCTGTGCGCCTTGTTTTGGCCGAGCTAGAGCTAAAAAACCGAGCATAGTATTGCAGATTTCTGTTAAAAATCGGTTTCCTGATTTTTTTTGCCCTTAAAACAGAGCTCGCACCAAAAAATCAGAACTATATTTATAAAAGCAAGTATAGGGGTTTAAAGTTTTGGTTGTTAGCTGCATAAAACAGTCATTGCTGCGGCCATGCAGCTTGTTTTGACAAAGTTAGAGCTAAGAAACGGCAACCAAACCGGGATATCTGCTGTCAAACGACGTATACTTAATTTGTGGCTCATTAAAATCAGTTTTTAAGCCATATTACAGCCAAAAATCGTCCAAATGAAGAATGTAATACCTCGCAGGGCTCGTAATTTGATTGCTTTGATTCCCAATTGATTTGCATTCAAATCTGGAAAACTTCATTTTTGGGCATTTTTTGAAAATTTTGATGATGGTACCCCTTATCAAAAATGCGAAATTTGGGCCAAAATTGACTTTCACAAAATCGAAAAACGAGTGATAGGGGTTGTTAGTATTGGTCGTTAGCAGCACAAAACAGTCGTTCTTTTGGCTGTGCGCCTTGTTTTGGCCGAGCTAGAGCTAAAAAACCGAGCATAGTATTGCAGATTTCTGTTAAAAATCGGTTTCCTGATTTTTTTGCCCTTAAAACAGAGCTCGCACCAAAAAATCAGAACTATATTTATAAAAGCAAGTATAGGGGCTTAAAGTTTTGGTTGTTAGCTGCATAAAACAGTCATTGCTGCGGCCATGCGGCTTGTTTTGACAAAGTTAGAGCTAAGAAACGGCAACCAAACCGGGATATCTGCTGTCAAACGACGTATACTTAATTTGTGGCTCATTAAAATCAGTTTTTAAGCCATATTACAGCCAAAAATCGTCCAAATGAAGAATGTAATACCTCGCAGGGCTCGTAATTTGATTGCTTTGATTCCCAATTGATTTGCATTCAAATCTGGAAAACTTCATTTTTGGGCATTTTTTGAAAATTTTGATGATGGTACCCCTTATCAAAAATGCGAAATTTGGGCCAAAATTGACTTTCACAAAATCGAAAAACGAGTGATAGGGGTTGTTAGTATTGGTCGTTAGCAGCACAAAACAGTCGTTCTTTTGGCTGTGCGCCTTGTTTTGGCCGAGCTAGAGCTAAAAAACCGAGCATAGTATTGCAGATTTCTGTTAAAAATCGGTTTCCTGATTTTTTTGCCCTTAAAACAGAGCTCGCACCAAAAAATCAGAACTATATTTATAAAAGCAAGTATAGGGGTTTAAAGTTTTGGTTGTTAGCTGCATAAAACAGTCATTGCTGCGGCCATGCAGCTTGTTTTGACAAAGTTAGAGCTAAGAAACGGCAACCAAACCGGGATATCTGCTGTCAAACGACGTATACTTAATTTGTGGCTCATTAAAATCAGTTTTTAAGCCATATTACAGCCAAAAATCGTCCAAATGAAGAATGTAATACCTCGCAGGGCTCGTAATTTGATTGCTTTGATTCCCAATTGATTTGCATTCAAATCTGGAAAACTTCATTTTTGGGCATTTTTTGAAAATTTTGATGATGGTACCCCTTATCAAAAATGCGAAATTTGGGCCAAAATTGACTTTCACAAAATCGAAAAACGAGTGATAGGGCTTGTTAGTATTGGTCGTTAGCAGCACAAAACAGTCGTTCTTTTGGCTGTGCGCCTTGTTTTGGCCGAGCTAGAGCTAAAAAACCGAGCATAGTATTGCAGATTTCTGTTAAAAATCGGTTTCCTGATTTTTTTGCCCTTAAAACAGAGCTCGCACCAAAAAATCAGAACTATATTTATAAAAGCAAGTATAGGGGCTTAAAGTTTTGGTTGTTAGCTGCAAAAAACAGTCATTGCTGCGGCCATGCGGCTTGCTTTGACAAAGTTAGAGCTAAGAAACGGCAACCAAACCGGGATATCTGCTGTCAAACGACGTATACTTAATTTGTGGCTCATTAAAATCAGTTTTTAAGCCATATTACAGCCAAAAATCGTCCAAATGAAGAATGTAATACCTCGTAGGGCTCGTAATTTGATTGCCATGATTCCCAATTGGTTTGCATTCAAATCTGGAAAACTTCATTTTTGGGCATTTTTTGAAAATTTTGAAAATTATCAAAAATGCGAAATTTGGGCCAAAATTGACTTTCACAAAATCGAAAAACGAGTGATAGGGCTTGTTAGTATTGGTCGTTAGCAGCACAAAACAGTCGTTCTTTTGGCTGTGCGCCTTGTTTTGGCCGAGCTAGAGCTAAAATACCGAAAATAATATTGCAGATTTCTGTTAAAAATCGGTTTCCTGATTTTTTTGCCCTTAAAACAGAGCTCGCACCAAAAAATCAGAACTATATTTATAAAAGCAAGTATAGGGGCTTAAAGTTTTGGTTGTTAGCTGCATAAAACAGTCATTGCTGCGGCCATGCGGCTTGTTTTG